ATTTGGAGTAATTTTCAGTATACTTGCTTGCAAGTCAACAATACTAGGCTAGCAACCGTAAATAACTACAGTAAAATTTATGGTTTATTAACTCCCTACTTCACTGTTTGGGTGATGTTTGGTTAATTGTATTTTTAGAAGAAAAATATAATAGCCAAAATTAGAACTTAAAGTAGGTACAAAGATTTGTAAGTTATAGATTAAGCAACAAACATTAAGGTTAAGTAGCATTGTTCATCCATGCTATTTCATTAATTAGTGATGGCATTAATAAATAAATGTTCACAGGATTTGACATCCGTGGCACTTTTGTGTGAAAAGACCAAGGAGATGAACGATGTGGTTTACAAAAGTGCGGTTGGAGGACATGTAGTTGATTTAGCCATTTTGCTAGCGGTTGCTCCGGAGAGGGTAAACAAATTAATTTTTATCGATTCAGTTACAAAAGAAAAGGCGACGATATACGAGTGTGTTGTCAAGGAAGCTGTGACAACACTTGGACAACTAGCAGGAACAACAAAGTCTTTGATAGCTTCTGAACCTGGTTGTGCTCTGACCAACGAGGAGTTGGGAGAGAAGAGAAAACTCCTCCTCTGCATAATCAAGTTGCTACAATTATTTGGTGTGACCGGTGAGAATGAAAAGAACTCTAACGACAAGAAGAGGATTCCACCGCTGATAAGAGCGGCAAAGGTAACATCTTTATGTGGATTTTGCTACATGAAGTGAAATTTTTTATTTGATTATAAAAATATGCATGTGATCACCATAAAACTTTTTTATCATAACAATATTTCATAAAAAGAATGGGTCAGACGGTATATATGTCCTTCAATTTAAGTTTCCAGTATTAAAAAGTGAGGTTATTCCTATAGAATGGGTACGTTTGAGGCTAAAAGTGTCTTTATAGAATTCCTTAGAAAGCAAAAGAACTTTTTTCTGTTTATAATGTTGACAGAGGATGGAAAGGCTCTTATATTGTTATGATCATTTAAATAGTAAAGTTTAACATATTTTGTAATATGATTGTAGTGGTTTTCATACTCTTGATAGTTAACGACTTGTTCTACATTTGATGTATTTTTTTTTTTTTATAATTCTCGTTCACAAATATTTTATTTTCATGGTTCATTATGAAGACTTTCCTAATGCTTAATGTAGCAGAGAGACAATGGTGTTAGTATGTACTCTTATTGTAATTCATACTCTAATATCAATGTTATTTCGTAAAAAGTAATAATTAAGTTTTATTTAGAAACTCAAGTACTTGTATACATCCGTGTATGAGTATGAAAAAGGATGCATAGCATGTAATTAATTAACGATTTAGACTATTAAGATTTTGCATGACACGCATGCATGCGAGTGGGTAAGTTGTCCACTCTCCATTGCAGGATACCTTAGAATATTGTGGTATGTTATTGCAAATGGTGTGTCCTTGAACCCTAAATTTCTTTGCTTGATTATATCGGTAGGCAGGAGATGAAGACGTAATTGATCTACTTTTGAAGACTAACATGGACGTAAATGTTACTGATGTCCACGGGAACTCTGCTCTACTCTGGTGCCTCCGAACTTGCAAGGGAACTTGTCCTCCCCGAATGAAGTTGGTCTCTCACTTTGCACTTCTATTCTCTTCTTTTCTACCGAAACTTCATTTTTTCTTTGTTTTTCAGGATAATGAGACTACTACTTGAACATGGAGCCCGGTCAAATCAAAAGAACATGTTGGGCCTCACTGCGGCGCACATTGCAGCTGAAAATGGAATTTCCCAAGCAATACAGGTAAGATATAATGTTACAAATTCTGCCAACTATATGATCAGGTAACATCTATCTTTAACAGAATAATTGATAGCTTGACGGTGGTCTCTCTTGCAGATACTTGTACTGGAAGACCCAAGTTGCATCACCACAAAGACAGAAATGAAGGAGACTCCATTGTATTTTGCTGTCAAGAACGACCATAAAGAATGCGTGGAGCTTCTTTTGAGCTGCGGGGCAAGCACTAGTGTCATGAATTTGCGGTTAGAAACTGATGCTCGTCCTCTTTGTTTCTAGTTCATAGTTCCCTGCATTTCTGGCCTTGATTTCTCTGTTTCTATCTTCCTTTATCTGAGATTGCAGTAGCTCATTGTTCATTTTGGATTCTTAAAAAAATACCATTTACCAGGAAACAAAGACCCATAGACTTGGCGAAGTCACAAGACATGCGCTTCCTTCTGAATCAGACAAGTATTACCTCGAGTAAGTTAGAAAACCTCAACTTACAGGACGATCACTTGATTCTCAAACAGTTTGCTAGTTCCATCTCATTTCATATATCTTTTTCTCTTCAGAAAATCGTTCTTTTCCCGTTCAACATAAACCCAACGCTCAGTTGCACGGCGGCCAGCCAACATCCCCAACTTGGGAAGACCTTATGACCTCCTTCAGTGAAGACAGGGCTACCAATAGGTGACCAACTTGGTTATTACAATAGGAACTGTAAATATATATATCTGGACGCGCCTGGCAATCCTCGTAAATTTGCGGTTTACATTGTTGTTACATGATGCTATTCTTCAACAGTAACACAGAGTCGCCTACAACAACCGAGACCTGTAAATATTATGGCTCTCCAAGTGGATGTGCGAGAGGAGGGAAATGCTTTTATCTCCATGACGAGGAGTCTCCCCGGACAAAGGCTGCAGATGGTGATTTGTCCAGGATTGATTCCCTTGCAAGATGGAATCATGTGAGAAGAATCTTTGTCGGAGGCCTCCATCCTTCGGTGGATTCTGGTTAGATTCTATGCGTAACTAATCTCTGTTTCATTTCTTTTTACTTTTATCTTCACAGGTTGTACATTCATTGATTCATATGTTGTTTACTCCAACATGCAGCGTTACTGCAGAAAACATGTGAAGAGAAATTCGGTCCAGTGGAGGATGCAGTGATTATAGGGGCTCGAAATGGTGACAGGGCTACTCACTCTAGAGGATTTGGGTTCGTGAACTTTAAGGACAAGAAATCTGTAACGGCAGCTCTGGAAGAACATCATGTGACCATAATGGGGAAGCAAGCTGAGATCAAAGGGGCTGTTCCCAAATACTTGTTACTAGCTGATCAGTTCCAGCGTCATCAACATCTGCAGCAGAGGGATAATCAGGTCCATGCAGAAGTAGAAAAACCTGAAGAAGATAGTGCACAGAATAGGCCCACCACAGGTAACAGCGAAGGGAATGAAGATAGAGTTCTCAGTAATGCCAAAGAAGAAAATAAACTCGAGCTGAAATCTTGGGTTGATATTGTCTGCCATGATCAACCACAACAAGAGCAACTACGACCAGTAATAGTCTCCGATAGTACTTCACAGTCGCAAGAAGAAAGCATGCCACGGTGGCTTGCAGTGTTCAGAAAGTGGTTCCCAGGCTTCTTACGGAGGGTCTCATCATCCAGAGCAGAGGTATATGCGCTGTCTTCTTTGAAAGCTGATTTCAGGGCTGAATTTGGGCTAGAGTTGGACCATCACTCTCTTGGCTTCTCAAAGCTTAGCGACTTCGTCAGATCAATACCTGACCTTTGCTTCCCCAAGTACTTGCCTAATGCTAATCACATGATTCTAGTGCCTGCTCGCCCTAAGCCACGTCGTCCTCGATCACCACCACAACCATCTCTCCCAACTCCCACCTCCACGTCATACAGTAATGCGCCAGTAGTGCATAATGACACTCACCGTGATGGGAAGTCCTCTGTTGAGGACCATGAACTGGAGGTTTCTTCACAGGGTAATGAACCAACAGATAGTCATGTCGAGGCCTCAAAGAATGCTGACAACGTGAGTCTGCAGAGTCAGGGTGATTCAACTTCTGGGCTTGTCACGCCTCATGAATTCCCAAAGCCAGAGAAGGCTAAGCATGTAGGGGAGCACATGGTTTTGGAGCTCATTGCCCGGGAGAAGAACCGCCATCACCAATCAACACTCTTCCTCCGTGAATTTGACTTCTATGAAGTAAGCAAAAATCAATGGAACAGTGATGTCTCTTCATCTTTTCAGCCTACTTTAGCTTCCAGAACTAACTTGTGTCTGTACTGTATGCAGAAGTACAAAGTAAGCGTGAGAGAAGGGCAGTGCTTCCGTTGCAATCTGCGGCGGACCTTGTGGGCCAACTTCCCATGCCGGCACTTGGTCTGGTGCGTGGAATGCAAGGCAAAGGTGATTGATGCAGTGGGGAGTTTCAACCACAAATGTGTCGTGTGTGATTTCAGGGTAGAGAATATAGACTTGATCTTAGACCAAAACCAGAGAGAGTTGCATGCTCCCTACGCATGGCGTTTGCAAAAGTAAGGCCGGGGCTCTATACCATCTAACTAACTCCTCCATTGTTTACTGAAACAGTGAAACTAAACCTTTGATGTCGCTGTTCTCTCTTTTCTGTGTGGCAGCCCGTTGAACACAACAGCATCCCCCAAGCAGCATTTTCCCTCCACTTTTGCAGCACCAAAAAGCTTTCTGTGAATAGTAATGTAGGGTTTTGAGAGGTGAGGAAGGAGACAGTTACTGCATTGCAGTAGCCAGCATATAGCTTTTGAACAGAACACAGGTCTAATAGTAGCTACTAGTATTGGTAGTAGTAGTAGTAGTAAGTGGCCATCCCAGCCTCCCCATTGTAGAAAAACCAGCGTGGGAGCTTTTGTAAGCTGGTGATGGCTTTGATTTTGTTGATGTTGCAGGTGAGTGGGGAGACAAACATATATCATGGTACACAAAATCACCAACTTGGATTGTGCATATAGTCATCAGTAAACTGAGATGGAAGTACATGAGAATGTGAATATATGTCATCATTTTGTGTAGTACTAGTATCTCTCTACTCTGGTAATTGTTTGATTCTAGCTTTAGAGTTTTCCCGATAAACAGAACCGATATTTGATTCCGTACTTGAAGCTATAAAGCCTATATTAAACGAATTGAGCTCAAATTAGATCAAACTCGACTTAACTTGGATCATTTGCGACCCTAACTTAAGTGACCATCAACAACAACCCTCAAATCGTTGCTGTACATTACTGATCAAAGTGAAGAAGAAACAAATAAAATAAGCAGCAAGTAGCAGGCAGGCGGCGGACCCATAGACGACGATGATACGAGTAAGACCAAGCTTAATGCACATAAATGGAATCGGGAGACATTGAAATCATCTGAAGTAAGCTGGAATTGGAGAATGTCTCCTCCAGCGCCGGCCCTCTCCTGCTCCCGCCGTCGCCGCTCTCCTTGGCGATGTGAACCAGCTCCTTGGCAACTTCCGCTATCCCGATCTTCCCTTCCCGGCCGAACAGCCAGCACCTCGTCGCCAGATCCGCCACCGCCTCGATCTGCTCCCGCCGGAACGCCGTTTGCTCGTGGTAGTACAGATTCGGATCCACAATCTCCTCTACCTTCCCGCTCCTCTGCATCGCCGCCGCAGGCAGCTCCCTGCTCTTCGTCCCGGCCACCATCTCCAGCAGCAGCAAACCGAACTCGTAGACGTCGCTCCGGTGCACAATCCCCCCGCCGCCGATCTCGGATCCAATGTGGAGCCTGAAGCCGGCGACCCGGACCGAGTGGCAATCGTCGAGGAACAGGCACGCGGATCTGAGATTATGGTGGAAAATCGGGGGAGAAACTTCCTGCTGCAGGAAGGCGAGCACGCTCGCCGTCTCCGCGGCGATGCTCAGCCTCTGGTACCAATCGAGGCCGCCGGCTTCGCGGCGGCGCAAGTGTTCCTCCACGGTGCCGTTCCCGGGGAACTCGTAGACGACCAGCGGGGTGTAGCCGCAGTCGATGCAGCAGCCGATTATTCGAGCCATGTTTCGGTGGAAGACGGCGGAGAGGACTTCGATTCGCGAGAGGACCTGGCTCAGATCTCGCTGGTCCCGGCATTCCACCTTGTGAACCGCCACCGGCAAGCCGTCGGCGAGCAGGCCGGCGTAGATTGCGCCGCTCGAAGTTGCGTCGGTCAGCTTCTGGCCGTCGTCGAAGCATTTGGTAGCTTCCTCGAGCTCCCTGTAGGTGAAGGAACGGGTCGTCCAGGGCTTTCTGAAGGACAATGTGGTCTGCAATTTGTCCTTGTTGTTTGGCTCGTTCGTCCGGCCGTTTGTAGGACGCTTTAGCAAGCAGAGCAACGCAGTTAACGTCGCAACGACGAAAATTGGTCCCAGAACTCCTGAACCAACAACAACAAAAAAAAATCTGATCGGAAAGTTGCAGGATTATCAGATCGGAGAGTTCCAATCTAATGGAGTAATTCGTACCGGCTAAAATGGAGACCATCTTCCCGCTCCGCCGTCTGGTCAAGCAGTCGCCGCCACGAGCTTCTCGGCCATCCTTAACACAAGCTGTAAATATGACTGAGTGAAGAAGACAAGATAAAAACTTGCAACAGTGGGAAAGTGAAGAGACTGTTGACTAGTCGAACAGACTCACTTCTCAAGCAACCTGAGCCGCCGGCGTATCCATCGCCGACGAACCCGTCTCGGCACACGCACCTTAGCCCCCCTTGGACAGTGGTGGCATTGACCGTATCCGCATCGGACGCACACAACCTGCTCGACGAATTGCCAGGGAGAGCCCATTCCAATTTGACCCCGCGCTTCCCAACGCCAGCCCCTCTAGGGACGACCCAGCAGGTGAATCCCCTGCATCCAAACTTGGAGAAGACATTGAACCCATCTCCCAAATCCCAGGAACTGCGATCGGAGAGAGGGTAGCAGCAAGCAGGGGAGCCGTTGCTGTCCCCGTCGCAGCCGGGGTAATCGATCGTCTCGCAACCAGGCTTGCACAGCGAGGAATCGTCGCAATCGTATAGCCCGACGACGTTCTCTTCCGATATCCCGAAGTAGCGGTTCCCGGCGAAAGGGAAGGCGTTGAGGTTGTAGTACTGGCGGCAAGTGGATGCAGGGAAATCTACGAGGACCCCGTCCGGGAAGAATTGAAGGACTCTGTATTTGTCGGCGTTGATGGTGAGGAAAAGCGCGGTGGAGTTGGAGCAGGTGAGACTGAATGCTGTTGTTGAGGGAGAAGCAGCGCAGGAGGAGTTGAGGGAGAAGGGGAAAGGAATCGGGAGTTCCCCGCATGTCTCGTTGCAGTGTAAAGGTGGTGGAGGAGGAGGAGGAGGAGGAGAATGAGAATGGCAAGTTGAGAGGTGAAGAGTGTTGCAGAGGATGACCAAGATCAGCAATGGTGGGAACATGTTTCCAGAAAACGGTAGCCAGCAATCAAATCAAACAGGGGTTCATCGGAAGTTCATTCTGTGATGTGCTAAAGCAGCAGCACCCAGTGAAATATATGATATTGTTGCTGAGCAACAATGAGGAAGAGAAAGAGAGAGATCGAGGCATGGGAGTTGGAGAAAGAAGAGAAGATTGGTCCCAGGAATGTGATACAGTTTTGTACCAAAGGGCATGGAATGGCGAGCTGATGAGCTGCTTGCTCTATTAATTAAAAGGCAACACAACTTTTCAAGTTCTTCTCTAACTTCGATACCAGGCGCTTTCTTTTTAATTCGTATTTAGTAGTAGTTTCTAGCATGGATTAATTATCGCTAGATAATTGTTCGGCGCTATCAATGCAGTCAAAAGCACGATTCTACCTAGAAGCGGTTGGGTGAAGCTACCATTCCCCCATCTTCTCTATCGAATACCACGAACGAAGCTTTGAATCCACGGTTTTCTCGATCAAAACTTTACCTGGCAAGAATCGACCACCAGCTGTGAAACTACCATTCCCAATATGCTTAATGGACTAAACCATGCACTAAACACAACAAAAAGGTTCTCAAATGTTTATCTAATATATGCCCTCCCATATGATACTAGTGTCGAGCTCTGCCCTTGCATATGATGGATGTCGAGCTCTTCTCAACCTTGAATGAATTGGCATCCTCCATTCTGTAGCAAAATTCTCCAACAAGTGGTTTTTGTAGCTAAAGGCAAGCCATTACATTTCTTCATTATTTCCTGCCATTCCCTTCAAAGTCTGCCCTTAGCAAGCAGAGACCAACAATCCTCATCATCTAATAACTGCAGATTGTGAGGTGGAAGAATTTTAATAGTTGGCACAATGCGAAGAACTGAAGCTACACAGCACTGGCATCACCAGCCTCAACAACTTGAGATGTCTCCTTCACTGGGGTAATCTTCGTTGACAGTACCTCTGCAACACACATCAACAGCAGTATAAAAACGATAAGTAGGTTGAAGTCGGTAAAGAAACTCGATCACACTCAATCAGGCAAACAAGGGTTCCTTATATTTCAGTGTGAAGGGTAGTTAAAACCTTAGGGAAACTCAATATGCAGTCGAGATTGTAACAAGACTCTTAGTCCACATTAAGTAACAGTACTTATAGCTTGCGCATACTTTCTATTTAAGCCAAAACATGGTACTTAACCAAAAAAAAAAAAAAAGAGCTAGGACAGCTGCTTAGATCTCACAATCCAGTTCCCCAAAACAAGGTTCAGGTTCACATGTCACCGCCCAATTTGAGAATAATACAAAAGGGAACTAGCATGCAGACTGTCAGATGCTAGAAAAATTTGTTCTTATCAGTTTCAATAGAGAGCGGAAACAAAACTTAGAAAACATTGCTCCAGATAGTGCAATATGCTTATTTATCAAAGTAGGCCAGGGATAATACCAACCTTTCTTAGGGAGGTGTATGCTCTCTTACTGACGTACATGCACAGATTGGGCTGGTGCTTTCTTAGGTATTCTTTGTGTCGCTGCTCCATAACCATATAGTTCAAAGTCAAATTAACGCAAACTGAAGGTTGTCCTAGAAACTGAAAGCTATCTGGTCATAATTGGAAAACCTTGGTAATGACACAAACATCAACATTGCTTCCACTTCCCGAGTCATTGAATATTCAAGAACATATGGCCTCAGTCACAAGCTCTATTCCTTCCTCCCTCTGAAAATATAATAAGTAACTGAGTAAGTGTTAAGTGTCCAAGCTTATAGTAGTGGCAACCAGTAATTATAATGAACTGTTGATTGCTAGTTGCTTGTAACAAGTGGTCCGTACACCAGACAATAACACAACTTACATTCAGGCTTTCCTTGCACTTATCCGCAAAACAACCATTTAGCAAGAGAACCAGAACCCATTGTGGCAAAAAGCAAAGTGTCTGTTGATCCATGGGGGTATACCTGTGAAGGACAGAAGTTAATACATCAAACCAACATACAGGTCTCCTCACAAGTCATATTAAAGAGAAAACCATGCACATTCTGCCAAAAAGAAGAAGACTCACCGTATGGAGATGAGGTCCAATGCAATCAACACAGCCAAGCACCAAAGCAGCCTAGATGTGGCCTTTGTAACTGAAGAACAAAGAGCAGGCAGAATAAGGAACTCACTCACAATAAAATAAAGGTTATTGCGGCAAGCATAAAGAGTCCAACGTAGCAGTCGGATTACTTGAAAAGATGCTTCTTCAGGAGAGTGACTGCTGTAATAACCCTCGACTCTCAACCAGTGTGATAACAATGCAACTGCTGATGTGAACTGACCAAATGCACAAAAAAATTCAATCCATAGCCACACATGTTAGAATTAACATGAAAAATTAACACCATGCTCCTAGAGCAAATACTAGGAGCTCAAAGGTTTCATAAACCACAAAGTAGATAGAGTAGCTTAATGGGAAGTCATTAAAACAAGCTCAAAATCAAACTAAACCTAACAAAAATCTCATCTTTTCTACCGGGTCCAGCTTGAAGTTCAATAGAAGAGTAGAAACCGAATACAAAGAGATGAGTGGAATAAGAACCACAAACCTGGAAAGTCAAGCCAACAATGGTGGTTCCGTCTTCGTATAATTTGGATGCTTGACGCCCTTCCCAGAAAGCATTTTGTTCCTCTCGCAGAGTCGCAACTCAACTCAAAGTTTGGCGGCGTCTCCTTGCTGGACATTCCGGCAGAGACTAATCTCACAACTAACGAACCGAAACAAAACAAACGGGAAAAATAAAAAAATGCAAACGGAAACAAAGGGAGCAGCCACATCGGTACAATAAGAAAACGCAAAAAAGAAAGCGAACAGATGGAAGAAAATAGAGGCACCTGAAGAAAAAAACAGCTTGAAACTGGAAAAACGAGACCAAATTGATGATGACCAATTTCATAAGAATAGTAATGCCTCTTCACACCTTGGATCCAGTTGCGGACTAGTAGTTGTTGATATGTAGAGATGAAAGAGATGAGGGGAGCCCATCAACAGGAGGAACATACTCGAGCTTGGGGCAGTTCCAGCTCTTCAGTTCTCTAAGAGAAGTGAGGTGTTGGAGTTTGTGGTAGTTGAGACACGACAAATTTGGAAGGTTCCACAAGAAGATCGATGTAAGAGTGGTTGGCAGAAGCATCTCATCAGGAAAAGACTCCATATTATCATTGGCACTCAAATGTAACTCCTCAAGATTGCAAATTGATTGCAGATGCCACCCAGTTCGTCCAGCTATGAGCTTGTCACAACCTTTGATTTCAAGCGACACCAGTGACGAGAAGAGACCGCCTACGCAAAAAGATTCCAATAGAGGACAGTCCTTGATTTCAAGCTTCTTGATAGAGATGTGATGTTGGCCTTCCCCCAGAGATCGCAGATTCTGAAGATTCCTGATTTTCAAAGAGTTCAGAGAGCATGGCAGAATTCTCTCCAGGGGCAAAGATTCCAATTCTTCATTCTGACCAATGACGAGGTTCAAAAGAGACGACAACAATTGCAAGTCCCACTTCCTCCAACCTGCTATGAGTTTATCACAGCCATTAATGTTCAGAGTCTGTAAATTTCTGGGTAAACCACCTTCAGGGAAAGACTCCAGCTTTGGGCAGTTATCCAAGAAGAGCTCCACTAGTGATGGGAGAAGAGAGTGCATAGGTTCGGCTAGAGACTTCAAGCTTGTGCAATCACACAATATGAGTTGGGTCATGTTTGGGGCATGTAGCCTTCCCACAGGAAATGAGATGAGATTAGGGCACTTGGAGATCTCCAGGAACTTCAGATGCTCCAAACTGTCCGATGTTTTTGCAGCATCAGGTCTCCAAAGGGATACTAAGCTTTGGCATCCATTGATTGAAACAACTTTCAATTTGGGGAAAAACTCCAGTGGCATGTATCTAAATGAGTTGCAGTCTCTGACCATAATTTCTTGCAGAGTATTAGAGAGATCAAGAACCAACTCCATGTCGTCTAGCAAATCCTGTGCAACTTGAACTCTGAGACGGTGGACTCCATGTGTCAGCATCTCGAGCCATACATCACGAGAATCATCCTTCAATCTCATTGAGATTATGTTTGAAGCCCATGGAACTGAAGCTAATCTGAGCTCCGGGCATCCTCTTATCTCGAGTCTTTCTAGAGAGGGAAAGTGGGAAGGGAGGGTTTTCCCGAGGCTGGGACAATGTTTGATGAAGAGTTCCTCAAGGACTGGGAATGCCTGACCTCCATCATAAGGAATCCACTCGGTCCATTCAGGAAACTGTTCAAATATCAAAGTTTTGAGGGAGCCAAATGGGATTTTGGTAGTGCCATAGAACTCGGGACCCACTGTGACAACCTCCACAAATGCTTTGATGGAGAGCTTCCGGAGAGATGTTAACTGCCCGAGTGGTGGTAAGGAGGAGCAGTATTTACACCCATTCAGTTCGATAGATAGTAAATGTGTGAAGGAAGAACGTCCAACCCAGCCCGGAAAACTTGTTCCTCCATAATCTTCAATCAATAAATGCTCCAAGTTCATATGTGGCTGCAAGTTCTTCAACACGGCCCTTTCATGCAATGAATCATCGGTATCTCCATTCCATCTCAACTCCAATCTGCTAATGTGCTTCTTCGTCTTCAAACTAGCTTCAAAAGCGGATTGAGAATCTGTGACATTTTGAAGATTCCATATTCGAAGTGTTCCTGAGAGATATTGAAGGCTCCCCATCTCCTTAATACCAGAACCAGAACCTCTATGATCTCCACAAACAAAGTCAGTTAAATTCCGGAGGTTTGCCAAGTTACTCATTTCTGGTGGCATCTCCTGAAGCAAAGTTTCTGTAACATCTAGGCTACATAAGTTAATTAAACAGAAAAAAGAATCTGGAAGTTTTCTAATTTGAGTTCCACTGACATCCATGATCTGCAGTTGCTTCAATTTGTGAATCATATCAGGCAAAGCCTGAATGTTTTTGCACTTGTGCAAAATCAGAATTTCCAAATTATACAAACTACAGAGTGAATCAGGCAACTTGTGGAACACTGCTAGGGAGAAATTCAGATATCTCAAGTGTTTCAAGTCACCAATTGCATCAGGCAACCTGGTCATTCTATAACCAGATAAAGATAGCACCCGCAGTCGTGTAAGTTTCAAGAATATGTTTTGGAGTACCTTGTCATCCATGGATTCAGTTTCATAGCTACACCATTTCGACCAATCTACTGGCAACAAGGTCCTCAAATGTTTAGCTTTATTTATGCCCTCCCATATGATACTGGTGTCAAGTTCTGCCCTTGCATATGATAGATGTCGAGTTCTTCCTGAAACCTTGCATGATTTGGCATCCTCCATTCTGTGGCAAAATTCTCCAGCAATATATTTGGCCACGTCATGTATGAGATCATGCATTTTGAAGCACATCTGATGTTCACTTGATTGTTGGAAAAACGATCTTGATACAAGATCGTTGAAGTACTCAGAACAAGTGTCTTCCATTTCCCTGCTTCCTTTTGATTGTATCACGAAACCCTCTGCCATCCATAAACGAACTAATTCCTCCTTCTCAAATTCATAGTCTTTGGGGAATATTGCACAGTACACGAAGCAAGGTTTTAGATGCAATGGAAGATAGCGATAACTCAAGATTAGTGCTGGAAGAATGCTGCCATCATTTGTTGAATCCCATATGTTGCTCTTCAATATATTCTGCCATTTGTCTACATCTGCATCAGCACGAAGAAGACAACCAAGTGTTTTTGCAGCTAAAGGCAAGCCATTACATTTCTTCATTATTTCCCTGCCAATCCCTTCCAAGTCTGCCATCCTCACACTTGAATACCCACCATCAAAAGCAGTCTTAGCAATTAGAGACCAACAATCCTCATCATCTAATATCTGTAGATTGTGAGGTGGAAGCATTTTAATAGTTGGCACCGTACGAAGAACTGAAACTACACTATGGCTTCGGGTTGTCGCAATTATCATACTTCCAGGTGCCATTGACTGCAAAGGTTTAAGCAAGTTAACCCAATCTGCGACACACTTATCATGCCAAACATCATCCAACACAAGCAAACACCTCTGGCCTTCAAATGCCTTCTCCAACCCAAGCTGAAGTTGATTGAGAGTTGTGCTGCCGGAACTCCTCCCACAGACTTCTTCAAGAATGTCCTTCGACACCTTATAGACATCGAACTCCGCCGAAACACATACCCATGCCCTTTGTTCAAACCACTTTTGGACTCTGCTGTCCTTGTATAGAAGCTGGGCAATGGTGGTTTTACCAATCCCACCCATCCCCACAATTGGAATCAGACCAACATCACCATTGCTACCACCTGTTGTTACATTTGATAGGAGAGAGTGAACTATGGCTTCCACATCATTCTCCCTTCCATAAACAGTTGATCCGTCTGTGAGAGAAGTGGTCGTCCTGTTTTGAGACGATGGTTTTCTTGCAATTCCTTCAATCAGACCAAGGACATCCTTCTGCGTCACCAAATCTTCTAGCGTCTCAAGAATACCTCTCAGCTTTGTGTTAGTGCCTTCTCTGAAAGAGCGCTGAGAGATGAAGTTCCGCACCTTTTCTGCAGTGGTGGTGGACTGGGATCCCAAATAAGGTTCCAACTCCAACCGCTTGAATTCATAAGATATTTCATCCAATAAGTCATCTGCTTCAAGCGTTGCGTCTTTGAGATCGTCGAGCCACCTCTTCACGGATGGCTTGCTAATCTGCTTCTCTTCTGCATCATCAAGCACTCCACACACAGAGTTTAATATCATTTCTAACTTGTTCAGCATGCCATGATTGAGTTTATGGCCCCTGATGAAATGGAGTAGCTCTGGAGAAGCCATCCTGTCGAACAAGACATCGAAAAGTGCAGACAGGAATGATCCTCCAATTAAAGCAGCAGCAGCATCCATGGCTATTTTTATGAAATATAAGAATGAAAGTGTGCCAGGCTTTCAGAATGCAGAGCAAATGAAAACCAATGGGAAGATTGTTCCTTTTTTAAGAGACCAATGAGAAAGACTTTGTGGAGAAGAGTAGGATATAAGAAATTGTCAAAGGAGCCATATTAGTTTTCAAACCAGAAAGAGATTCCATGATACAATGTACAGTCATTAGATTAATTATTAAATTCGATCATGGATGTTCCAGGAAACTTACTTCAAAAAACAATTGTTTGAAGGTAACCCAACTCAATTCCACGTCTGCTGAAGAAACCTTCAAACACTGGAAAACAAAATTACAGAAGATAAGGGGATCGTGATGGGGTTTTTGTTTGATGCATACAAGGTCGACGGTTTCTAAGCAGCAACTCGGACGGAAGTTTCCAAGATAATGAAGTGATTAAATAATAATTAAACGATGACAACAGAGAAGTCAAACTAATTAGAAAATCATTAGCGAAAGCAGCTTAGCTTTGTAATACGAGATCGATTAGCAGTCGGGAAATACTTGCCGTTGATTTTGAGCTCCGGCAACTCCGGCGAGCTGATCGCTTCCCCTTCCGCTTCCCATCGGAGAGCTCTCTTGCTCTCAACCTCCCGGGCTTTCGGCGCTTTCTCATTTCAACAGGTCTGTTGGTCCCGATGGCGCCGGCCAACGCTTCTCCGATTTGGACTCAATCTCGCCTGCAGTCTCTACAATTTGGTACGAAGGCAAGGAACAATTTGGTGAAGAGAAAGAATTGGGAACTTGATCCGAAAACGTGCCGTAATAAGAAACAAATGGGCCAAGAATTTTAAGCCCACAACTTTTGTAAAACTCGTTTTTTCTGTTGAGCCCACACTAAGACATATTTCAACCCAACGAGTAGGGGTGGGCATTGGGTGGGTCGAGTGGATTTTGACCATAAAATGCACCCACCCGCGCTTAAACGGATTGATAATTTTTAACCCACCACCCACCCACATTTAGTCTCGGGTTGGGTCGGGCGGATGGTGGATGATGCGGGTGGGTTTGTGGGTTCACCCACATCACAATTTATATAATATAAAGGAGTCAACTTGACATGATAATAGGTGAAGAGAATCATCGAGGGAAACCAGAAGTTGAAATAGGGCGAAAAATGTCGAATTAGTTCTTAAATTGGATAGAAATTCTATTATGAAAGAGTTTTCTACAGATTGAGACGATTATTAGGTGCAAGGAACTAAGGAAAATAATTCCGCAAAGGAAAGAGCGTTGATCTAGGCACAAGAATTAGAGGAAAAAGTAAAGGGAAGAAGAGGGGATCTCTATTTGGAAGGTTGGCTTTGAGGTTCAAACTCCAGGAGCAGTCCGAGTTTATATCTAACGTCTCCACTCTCGTCTCTCTAGCGCCAACGACTTTGATTTTTTTGCTGTTGGGTTGAGCGGGTCACCCACACACTCACCCACAACCCACCCACCACCCGGCGGATGGCTCCTAGCGCAACCCGTCACCCACCCACAGACCCACCCACTTAACGAAATTCGGGTCAAATGCGGGTGGATCGGCCCAAACCCGCGGATGATCCGCCCGCATGCCCAGCCCTACCAACGAGTGGGCAACTTTCGGCAGACTTTCCCTTCCCTTTTCAATCCTCGAATCTTATTCCCCTGCCATTCCAATTCTGTTCCGTCTTCCATGTTTTCCGATAGCTTGTCTATAAGCGTCAAACTTGTCAGAAATCGGTCCGACTGGAATTAGCTGGAAGTGAGAGTGAAATCCACGCCGCAACCGCGCCGCCGTCGCTGCCGCAGCATCCCGTCCGCCACTATCACTCTAACACTGCCTCTACTCATCAGTCCTCACCTCTCCGCCTCATGGCCTTAACCAACGTTATGGCCGTCTGATCCTTCTCTCTGAATCAGCAGCCAGAGTCGTCGGTCAAGTAAGTGTGGTCACTTCTGGCTGTAGCTCGGGAAGCGATCTTCGTCTGGTTTGGTTATAGTCTCCGTAATTCAGTAGAGGCGGAAGTTGCCAAAGTGACAGCGTCAGCATTGAAGTTGAGAGCGGAGCCACAGATTGTTCGCAATCGTGGACGCCTTCCCTCTGGGACGTGATCTCCGTTTCTTTCTGTTGGATAGAACTTGATAAGGAACGCAGCTTCCAGCTTTGCTTTGTCACATCTGTTCCAATTTCCAAGCATTGCCGATCACTTTAATAGTTCCCGCTTGCAGCTTCGGCCTTTAGGTACGAATTTTTTGTCCAATTTTCTGGGGTAATATCCGGCGGGGTTCAAATTGTCGTCCTTATGCTTTCGAGGAATAAAACATCCAAAATCGCTGAAAAGGTTGGATGAGTCCGAGCCATACGATTCTCAGTATAGAACCGACCTAAAATGATTATCCAAGTTATGGAATTGTGCTTTGGGTATCTTTGAAGGGGCTTTGTCCCCGCTACATAATGTGTATTGTGTAGGAGTGGCACTGCCGTATAAACAGGCATCTAAGCTTGCAAGCAAAGATTCAAGCAACTCGGAATCGGATGACAAACTTCCCATAAAAGGATACGTAGGGCATTGTTCCCACTTTGCAAGTTTCACCCGCAATCCACCTTCACACTTGCGTAGAGAATAATTAACTGACCATTTTGTTAAACTCTAAAGTTAAAGGGACCATTTTGGATAATTGCCCCTTTACTATAGAGTGGAGACTGGAGAGTGGTGCCGCGCGTGTGGGAAGCAGTTCTGGCTTCTGTGGGTTTACGTTGATCAGAGCCATCTTAAAGCTTGCCGCCATTCTGATACAGGTGCCTGTTAGAGGAATCTGTAACGAGCTTACTTCCGGCATAGGTTATAACGTTGAAGTAACTCAGAATTAGAAACGGCTAGCTGTTTCCGTTCATCGAACCGCCGGTGTGATGTTAATTCCGTCATTCCCATGTTAGCTGGCTCGGGAGTTCGGTATAGAGGTTAGTATTTCCATACCTGGGAATGGGATATATTCGAAAATCTATTAATTTCTACGAGGTGAACTGGTTGCCTCAGTCGAAATATCGGTGAATACCATGTTGTTGAACTCACGGTTCCGATTGATTTCCCTACTCGTTTGCTCGAAGGAAGTTCCTGCTTTGAATTTTAGCTCACCAAGTGTTCGATAGAATGCCTGTGAGAGCAAGGAGTGCTGCGTAGATGCATTCGCAGTCTGCCTACGGTACCTTCTTCTTCTTTCTGATAACGGTTGCATTATGCTGGTGGAAATAAATGGTCAGGGTGCTTGCTGTTTTGTTGCGAATGAAAGTATTTGATCGAAAAGCCATGGTCTTTGTGTATTCCCCTTGTATTTGGACTTCGTTGATTTTGCTTGCTATGTCTGTGATAACTCTGATTGACCCTTGTACCATTTTGCAGTTCACCATCTTCGGTCGAGATTGTGGTAGACTTGCTTTGCTACTGGGTCGTTTGTGGAGCACTCTCCTATTGATTCTTCTAAGACTTACGTATCTTCATCAAAAGCTATTCGGCGAAATTAGAGCAAAACTGCATGATACCCATGATGATCAAATCTATTCGCAGACGGCCACTTGCAGCATATATCACTTTAAGATCGAAAACCACCGCCGCACAGTATGTAGAATCGAGAGCCAGGGACGCTGTGTTTGAGAAATTCATGGACAAGTACAAAAACCTCCTGAAAGTCATTGCCATCCAAGACCTTATTCTTTCAAACCCCACTAGAACCCCACCTTCAGTCTCCCTTGATTTCCTCAACAGACTCTCCCAGAAGCTACACCTTAATAGAGGCGCAGCCTCTTTCCTCCGTAGATACCCTCATATTTTCTACATTTACTATGAAACAACGGTCTCCCAACCTTTTGTCAGACTAACTGATGCTGCTACACAGATTTGTCGCGAAGAAGCAGAGGCGATTACAGCAACATTGCCAGCTGTTGTTGACCGGTTGGTTCGGCTTTTATGCATGTCAAAGTCCAAATCCTTGCCACTCCGTGCCATCTTCAAGGTTTGGAAGGACCTCGGGCTTCCGGATGATTTTGAGGATTCGGTAATATCTCACAACCCACATATTTTCTCTCTTCATGATGCCCATGAACCTCACACACACATCTTGAAGTTGGTGGATGAATTCCCCTTGTGTCATCTTCGGCCTGCAGTTGATGACTGGAGGGTTACAGCCACTGAGTGTAGTAAAGAGAAATGTGAAGCAAATGATACCGCTGAAATGCAGTATTGCTTCAAGCATCAATACCCACCTGGAATGCGCCTGAGCAAGAATTTCAGGGCTAAGGTGAAGGAATGGCAGAGTCTGCCTTATATTGGTCCTTACGAAGAGCTGATGAAGCCATCTAAGGTGGGGATGAGAAGACTTGAGAAAAGAGCAGTTGCTATTGCGCACGAGTTCTTGACTTTGACAGTTGAGAAGACGATAGAAGTTGAGAAGATCAGCCATTTCAGGAAGTGGTTTGAGATTGAGCTGAACATGCGAGACTTGTTCTTGGATCATCCAGGGATTTTTTACTTGTCTACAAAGGGCAAGAGACATACAGTATTCCTTAGGGAAGCTTATGAGAGGGGTCGATTGATTAACCCTAATCCTGTGTACAATGTAAGACGAAAGCTTTTAGATCTTGTTGTTATGGGACGGCATCAATTTCCTTGCAATAACTGAGGCCATGGGAGGTTTGGTTAGCTGGAAGAAAAAACTATGGTCCAAAGCGGCAAAGCGGCCTTCCTTTATTAAGGTCTAGGATTTCAGGCCTATTCTTATTAGATCTTGAAATGAAACTGGCAACTTGGTGGATTCAGCCATTCAGGCAACCTAAAAGAGCAAGTGGCTGAGTCTGGGTATGCGACGTGGTGTCATCATCAGTTATCCTACTCAGGCGCCTGTGTGATCTCTTTTCTTGTTGCTTCTACGTTACCAATTTTTGAAACCTGGAACATGAGTTTGAGATTGTTTTCTATCTTCCCATTAATCCTAGCTAGGGAGAGATACTGCCCCAGTTCGTTTGGATTGCTTGATTCCATCTCCAGGTTTTCTGCAAAGAAACATCTGATTTTGGATTAGAACTTTAACAGTGGGTTTCTAGGATGATGCAAGGCTTCTTGGTGGAAGAGCAGAACAGTGTGAAGCAAGTGTTGGAAGATTCAGAAGGCAAAGGAAAAGAGCAGATGGCTCAAGGAGTTAGACAACTAGTAGATAAAAGACTGTTAGGAAGTAGTCGTTGCCCTTTGAGCTGTGGAAAGACGATACAGTTTGTGTAATAATATTGTTGCATGTTTTCTTTTCATGGAAATGGAAATATTGGTTGGTTGACAGCTCTTCTTAGTTCGGTAGTTGTATGTAGAAACCGTATCATTAGTCAATATGATCTGAATGTATAGCTCAAAATCGTTCCACAATAAGAAATGAACAGAGTTTTCACAGTCAAATAAATTGAAGTTGAATACCATCACTGAAATTAGTAATTCAAGCTTTGAAATATACAGCTCAAAATCGTTTTCACAGTCAAATAAATTGAAGTTGAACACCATCACTGAAATTAGTAATTCAGCCCTTGAAATGTGCAGCTCAAAATCGTTCCACAATAAGAATGAACAGAATTTTCACAGTCAAATAAATTGAAGTTGAACACCATCACTGAAATTAGTAATTCAGCCCTTGAAATCTCCAGGCCATTTGGATCATCTTGATAAAATTGCACAAAAAATAATTTGTCAAGAGTGGGATTTGAACCCACGCCCTTTCGGACCAGTACCTGAAACTGGCGCCTTAGACCAACTCGGCCATCTTGACATTGTTGGATAAATTGTTTTCATTTTTTATTTATACAGTGTTATATTTTGGTCACTACAAACAAGAGTGAAGTCTCTTGCTCGTTGTTAGGATATGCTGAAGCCAAGTTCCAAACCCCAAAAACAATTACTATCAACTTCTATATCTATTAACAAACTATAACTGATTTTGTAATGTAAGTATTTCAATAATACTTCTACTTTTTACATACATCAAATAATATACAACTCCTTGTAAAAAAAATATACAACTAACTAAGTGACAGGAAAAAAAAAAAAACAAAAAAGAGACCAATCATATCTTCTTCCCTTAAAATCCCCATTCTCGATTGGACACTTCTTTAGACCTCCATTCCTCCCACCTTCTCGACCTTAGCTTTCGTCATTCACATTGTCCTATCCAAAGAAGTCGAAATTTCGATTTAAATCCTACAATTTCACATAGTGGTGTTCAAACGGTGTGGTTACCGTGGTAACCGTTTTAACCGGTAGTATTTGGCTAATTTGGTTTGATTAATGTGGATAATTGGTTTGGTTTGGTTAAATTTTTTAGCTTGTTTGGTTTAGGTGGTTTGGTTTGGTTTCAGACACTCCTAACCAATCAAACCAAATTAACCAGGTAAGCAGTTTTTCATATATCTAATATATATTGTATACACATAGTTAATACTTGGCATAAACTGATAAACACTCAAGAGTCATACATTCCTTCCTTTTAGGCTCATCAATAATAAAGCTCAATATTGTTCATATATTGTATATTTGTACTATTAGAGTGTAGATGTAGACCATTATATATGAACACTTAATTTAGATAAGACTCATACAATATATTAGATGAAAACGTGAAAGAAATGTCTTTTTCAATCTATGATCATTGCTAAGATACTAATTTAATTCACACAATCACAATAATTAATTAACTCCGTACTATTGACATGTATTTTTATTAATTGAATACTTCTATTGACCGTAAGATAATTGTATTAGTTGCATATATTTCTGTAAGGGTTAACTATAACTATGTGTTCATTGTAATGTTTTATTCATCATATAAATTGTGAATTGAGGCATTATCCAAAAAATTTCTCACTTAATGATAATGTGATGTAATATTGATTAATCTGGTTAACCAACCAAATCGATCAAACTTTAGTTTGGTTAATTTGACTATTGTATTAGTTTGGGCGGTTTGGTTATTATATTATATTATATTCATGATTAATAGAATTTTTCCTTATTTGGTTCAGTAATTACCATGGTAACCATTTGAACACCCCTAATTTTACGTACCTATTCCAGTTCAGATTTCACTATAAAATCTATAGGCCTTAAAATATTACAGTATTCACGATCTAAATCTTTAAAATCTTATGATTTTACGATTCGAATTTTTTAGTCCATTTTACCTATTTTCTTCATAATTTGCAAAATCGCACATCTTTTCCTTCTCATCCACCAACATCATCTATTTCCCACACACTAACAACCATCGATCATCATCAATTAACATCAACGTATTTATCGCCATCGGTTCACCACCTCTTAACATTAACTATGATAAATTGGAACATTAACCTTGAGAAATTATCATTGTAAGTGTTATGTGTTTTTGTGTTATTTGCGATTTTTCTTATTAATATTATTCCGTTTCCATTTTTATATGAACCTTAAAATCATACGATTTTACTATTCCGATTTTACCCCAATTTTTGAATTTACGTAAAATTCCGATTTCGACAGCTTTGGTCCTATAACCAGTGAAGTACTGAAGTCTAAACCTTACATCTCCAACCATCATTAATCCACCTTTTCAAGCTCACTTTAAATAAATGATGACTACACTGAAGGAAGTGAGTGTGTTTAAGAATATGTGAGCCAAATAATGAGCAATACTATCTTTAGTTAGTTGCTATGAGAATATGTGAAAACCTTTTCTTGATTGTAGAAATTAAAGACATGCAAATAAGGGATACTAAATAATGAACAAGTAAAATTTTCTTCATTATATTCTTTTATTCAAATGAGTTGAAGCTAAAAAGGGATATAGGAGATAAAATGGGGGACTCGTTGATTAACAATTTAGGCTGAATACATAAAATATAGAAACACTTAAACGATTACAACGGATAAGTAGTCATTCACATGGTTGCGATTTGCTTAGACTTTTAGATAATTGCAACTTCCAACAAATAAGGAGTCATTCACTTGGTTTGGGTATAGTACCATTGATGTTTCAATTTTGTTCTTCAAGCTTGAGGCAACTTTGGAAGACTTATTGAAAAATTGAGCATTAAGAGCATTCAAATTTTGTAGTATAATTTTGTTCTCCATTATTCATGAACACGAAAAGGATTTTAGTCTTGTAGACAAGCATGCAATTGCAAATAAAGAATAATAAAGCATCAATAAATAAAATCTTCTTATGAACACAATAACTGTTTACACCAAAAAAAAAAAAACATACAACATTGATTACAAAATATCATGTACACAAATGAAATGAGCTTCAATATCCTCTGCACAAATCCCCCATGCAAAAACAATACTTACCACAAAAAGTGTATACACACAACCCCATTCCTTAAACAAATGCTAGAATTAAATCCCATGGTCCATTATCCACTCCTAGTCAGGGGATTTAAGAGTAGCATTTGTTCGTTGAATAAGTAGTAGCAGTGGAGATTTCAGGAGGACAAGAATTTGGTGGGGGTGAATCCCATCCATCATCTGGTGCAGGATTTGCAGGCAAGCTGAAAGGAAACCCAATCGATCTAATCTCACTCCCAACCCACTGATGATTGTGGTTATGATTATCATCATCTTCTCCACCACTACTCTCCATCTCTTGTTGCAGAGTACTGATGGAGAATCCACTGAACTGCTGCCCCTGCCCTTCAAATTCCAGGGCTTCGGAAGAGGCCTTGTTGGACAAAACTGAACCCGACGAAGCTTCGATCGAGGAAAAAATGAAGTTGTTGGGAGCTTGAGGGAATGGAAACAGCGGTGGAGGAGAGAAACTTGGAGTTGAAGCTTGTTGTGGGAAGAATGGTGATGATCCAAGCTCTGACACACAAGAAACCACGTCGGATGAGGAGGTGAAGTGGGAGGTGGCTTGGTGTTGGTTGAAGAAGTGATGATCAGACGGTGTCGATTCGTGATGTAGAGGCGATGACATCATCCATGGATGATTAGACAGAGCTCTCTGCGCCATGGAATTCGTCTTCCTGAATATCCGACATATCGCCCATGCTTCCTGTTTATTACCAAGATCATCAACAAACAAGTGTTCAGGGTAACTTCTACGACAAGAAACCGTGAAACCTAAGCCAATTCATCTGAATCTTTTCTTACGTTGGGAGGGAGGGATTTGTCGAGGAGCTTCTTCGGTTGAAGGGATTGCTGATTCTGATCGGAGCCGGGGATGGGAGGAAGCCGGAACTCGTGCATCATCCAATCGGTCTTGATCCCTTTGGCAGCTCTTCCTCTGTAGAAAACCAGTGACTTCTTCAGCCCAATACACTTGGTTCCTTCCGACGAGTAAATCGGACGGTCTGTTCCGGTCGCCTTCCAGAAACCGGATCCGGTAACCCGGTTCGGCCTCGCGCTGTTCCTGTACTTCCGGTCCCTTGGACAGTAGAAATACCACTCTTTCTCCCCTGCAGTCGTCGCCAACCCTGTTTTTACGTTTTCAACATGTAAGAAAGCAACCGACTTTATTAGGAAAATGGTTCTGAGATGTTAACCCCACTGGCCCACAGACCTCCACATTTTCAATAAAATACTAGAATCTTATTTTGGAATTGGGTAGTAATTTAAATTTCCTAGTTTTATCTCTTCCTTGACGTGGGTGACTCTGCAACAGGGAAAATTGCTAGAATGTCCTACCTATCTTTTTATGTATGAGAATGAAAGCAAGAAGATGAAAATATCTCTGCTGTAAGGAATTTTCATGAACCCAAAAGGAGTTTTCATGTGGGCAGGAGGTTTTACTACCAAAGCTGAGTTCTTTACTGAAAAGAGTAAAAACAGGGGATTTCATGGAAGTTGAGAAAATAGGGGAGGCTGGCTTACTTGGAAGATCCCAGGGGTCGTATTTGTAGATATCGACTTGCTTAATGAGCTCAATAGCCAGAGACCTCTGCTGTATTTTCCTCTTCAGATAGAACCCTACCAGCTCCTCGTCCGTCGGATGGAACCTGAAACCGGGCAGCATCACGTCATCGCTGCCCTTATCCGTGTCACTCTTCTCCTCCATTTGACCAAGAAAAAAAACAGAGCTTTGAGCAGTAAGGGGGAAGCAGAAAGAGTTTAGTACAGGTTTTTGGGTTTTGAGTGGGTGGATCTCCAAATTGGGTCTTTATATGATGGGGTTTTTGAGAATTGCGGAAAGACTTCTTTGCACACTCTGTTGAAGGTTCAATTTTCAAAAGCCAAGAGCAAAATGACAAAGGAACCTTCAAGTTGATGTTTAGTGAAGAGTATATTAGTAATATTAGGTTTTAGTACTCTTCTCATGGGGATTGGATTGTGGGGTTGAGTGAGGCAGAAGTTGAAAATATGAATTCTTCCCCAAAAGAAGGATCAGTTTTACATTCAAAAACCCTCATGAGATTTGCTCTGTGGTGGGAATGCTATCAGTTAAACTATCAATGAGTCCAAATGAATCAAATAGAATATGATTTAAACATTGGTCTACTATTACTATATTCTACTATATGCTATCTGCCTACCAAAGATTTCAAAGGATAATCTGCTCTTTGCCATTTCTTTATACCTTGTATACAAGTATAGTAATGTTTCATGTGGATACATATGGGAGTTGTCTTTTTTCAGTTCCTTGCCTTCCCAAATTTGTGCTAACCATCCATGCAACCTTGGTGAGAATAATTTCTTGTTGGATGAAAACTTTATAGCTGATTGTGTTTTTTGTCGTAATATTATACTGTTGACGATACATATGCAAAGTTTGATGTTGATTATTGTATGATTCTTTAAAGATTGATGCATTAGAGTATTGTTTTGCACTCACTTTAATATTAAAAAAAAATCAAGAAAGTTCTTTGCTAGCTAGTGATAATTTTGCCTAGTTGATCACCTTTATGCGTAGTATAATTCTATAAGATAGTTTCAAGTGACTTTGGTTCTTTGTCAATTTGATCCCTCTCACTTTCTTAGCGAATAACAAAATCAATCAAAAACAATATTATCACATTCCATATATAATAATTCGTATGCCACATTTTCTCTACAAATCCCATTATCCATCCAAGTAGTGCATAAACTTTCACACAAATCTCTTCTCTCAATAGGTGAAACAATGAATTTCATTCTTCCATATTATTATTTTGTAAATATGCTCTCCCATAATGAGTTATATAAAATTGGGTGCATGTAAGAAAATGACACGTCCCATTGGCAATATATTTTGTTAGCTTAAATTATGTTTAGAACTTCAAGTAAATGAGTAAAGACGACTAATGTGACAAACTATATTGAAAAGAGTCCATACTTTATTGCATAATCTATTATTTTAAATTAAATATATCCTTATCAAAGCTAGCCTAAGCATAATGACTTGATTCAAGAGACAAAAATTGCTAGGGAAAACAAACTCATGTTGTCAAGCTAGGGGTCAATAAAACACAGCCCCTAAAACTTTATGAACAAATTTTATATTAGACCCGAATTGACATGTAAATTATTCAAGAATTAGAGAGTTATTAAAGTTAGGTGGAGAATGATGCATGTTCCATCCAATGTATAGGGATGATTCAATCTGTAAGATGTCGCTTACTAGGGATGATCACTCTGTGTCATCAATATTGTATGTTTGGTGTGGAGGCATGTAATATAGTTAGATAGTAACCAGACGGTTCCTGAAGAGAGATGAGAGAGAAAACTAGAGAGAGAGAGCTGGAAAGGGAGTGCGAATCTTTGGGGGGGGGGGGGAGCGTTTTTTCTTCTTGCAGGTACACAGCAACGAGTCGGGATTCAGGCGGACACTGCTTCTCGGGTTCTCTTCAGTACAGATCGGAGGTATTTCGGTTCAGTCAAGGCAGGGAGTTCAGAACTGTTGTTGTTGAAGATTATGTCACGAAGAGAGAGGTTTTCGTCAGAATCGCTGCGGTTGATAATGGCAGTCAGAACAGGTTCGTCTACCTGGAACCCCCCCAAGCGGATTGGCTTGGTAAATTGCTTCGCGAAATTTCGTGGAAAGGATGGGACATTAAGGCAAATCGTCAGAAGAAGGGATTAAACCGCATGATTCAGATCGCCAGGTTTGCATGTAGGAAAGGCAATTTCATCAAAATATCGGAAAGGCTGACCAGTGGATATTCGTCCTTCATCCTCATCCCCTTTGCCCCAAATGAATGGAAGGGAATGATCGACCGACTCAGCAGACCATCACCTAAAATAATCAGGAAGAACCGCATCGTGCGCAGCGCTTGGGTAACACGAGGAAAGTCCTTTGCAGACGCTGTCAAGATGGATCTCCCTTCGGAACAGGGGAAAAGTATAATCAAGCATCACAACTCTCAGGCTTTTCTGGAGGTGGAGGAAAATGGAGTCATTGATAGGCTGCAATTCCTTGACCGGTGCTTGACGATAAGCTTCTTCGACAACAAGAACTTGGGGCTTCCGAACTCCTTGACGGAAGACTTCGTTGTTTGGGCAAGAGAACGGTGGGGATTATCAGCTGGATCAGTTTTCTCCAAAAGGGCGGGGGACCTATGGTACCTAATCTGTGATTCACTGTCCGAAGCCATTAGAGTTCAAGAGGATGGACATGGTAAGTATCGGGATTGGAACGTTATGCTGCGATTCTGGAAAGAGGGCGATGGTCGTTGCCTTGCCTCCCCTGGTGGTCTGCAATGGATCATGTTGTTCGGAGTCCCTCCCTTTCTCCGGTCGTGGGATGTCCTGGAAAATATTGGGAGGATCTGTGGCGAGCTCGTTGACGTTGAATATGGCTCGTGGTCGGACCCATGCGTCCGCATCAAGGTCAGACCAAATAAGAAGGTTCCGTCGTCGTTGCCGGTCAGATTCGGAACAACAGTGTTTATCGTAAAAATTCTGCCGGTGCCGGAAGTGGCCGATCCGATGGCGGATCTGAACCGTCGCTGCCTTTTGGGCAAAGCCGTTGAATCCTGCCTGGCTGGGAAGTCGAACTTCGATGGCGGCTTTCGAAATCCGAGCCCTACGGAATGCGCCAGAAATACGAGGGTTTCTCGCGACGCCTCGGTTTTCCCTGGGCCTCGTCACTCCAAGCATGCGCAGCAGTCTTCCGACTCCCATGCAGCATTGGCATTCAATGGAAAAAGGAAGCGCGTTTGGATCCGCAAAGCAGGTCCACTTCCAAGACCCAACCCCCTCGTACCCTCCTATCCAGATCTAAGCCCAACCGACAACCCCTATACATCTATATTCAAGCCCATCACCCCCAGCCCTCCTCCAACCCTAGCCAACTCTTCCCTCTACCTTGGGCCGGCCCACAGTTTCCAACTTGCAATACCCCTTCCTGGCCCTCCCCCGAGACCCAACCCAGCCCTCATACTCCACAACTTATCTGCTTACTCCCCACCACTCATTGCCAATGCGGCTTTTACTATCCTTTCCATTTCCATCCCCCCCGCAATTTTTCCCCATATCCCCCTATCCTATCTCTTACCGCACTTGTCCCTCAGTTCGATCTTCTCCTCGACAATTTCTCCGACCCCCCTTCTACCTCCTCAAGTTGATCCATTCCCTCATTGCGACCCCCTCCCTGCCAACTCTCAGCCTGACCCTCTTAATCCCCCATCCACTGATTTTGATTTTCCCTTCACAGATTCACCCGACACCTCAGAACCAGAGCATCTTGCTATCATACCTTTCAATCCTCTAAGCGCAGAATACCTCGATGTCTGGCGCAGTGAACAGGACTGCACTAAATTGATTGAACAAAGCCTAAAGGTCTGCGATATCCTTAAGCTCACGGACTCTGTCTCTTCTGAAAGTGCGAAGCAAAAGGTCGCTTTCATTGCGGCTGATTCCCAATGCAAGAGAAAGAGAGAAGCGCGCTCAAAGCTGGAAATGGAATTGAGGCGACTGGGGATTAATCAGCCCCCTCCAGCACTCAGGACTCGAAGCCGATCAACTCATTCGAGTTAGGTGACCGGTTCATCTCACTGCCAAAGCTATACTGTGTTAATGCCTCATTCTTTCATTGCCTGGAATGTACGTGGGTTGGGAAACCCGAATAAGAGAGCAAAAATCAAGCGGTTGCTGAAGAGATGGAGACCTTCTATAGTGGGTCTCACAGAAACCAAGTGGAAAAAGTGCGACAGGAAACTAATCTCATCAGTCAGCGGTAACGACGTCAGCGACTGGGTAGCCAAAGACTCAGTTGGAGCCAGTGGGGGCATTGTAATTTTGTGGAATTCTACAGTCTACAGAGCGTTGACAGTTTGGGAAGGCAGATTTTCCTTAGCCGTCCGGTTGAAGGTAATTGAAACAGAGGACATCATCTCCTTCTTAGTTGTCTATGGACCTCAAGAAAAGCAGGAAAAGCTAGAATTCCTCAAAGAAATCGAGTCAGTCTGCAGAGAATATCTGGCCGCGCTGTGCATTATTGGTGACTTCAATATCGTCAGATCAGAAGAAGACTTCAGAGGGTGCCCTAGAGACTTGGAGAGTATGAATGAATTTAATAACCTGATTAATAGATGCAACTTGGTGGATCTTCCATTACAAGGCGCCAGGTTCACGTGGAGCAGAGGAAATGGAGAGCTATCCGCGTCACGTATAGACAGAGCACTCATCAACTCAAGTTTCGAAGACCTATTATCCCCGGAGACCCTAATCGCCCTTGACCGTGTGGAATCGGATCATAATCCGATCCGTCTACAGTGGGGTTCAGTCGAGCGGTTCGTCCATCCTTGGCGGTTTGAAAATATGTGGCTGAAGGAAGAATCTTTTCTCCAGAACCTGGTAGGGTGGTGGAACATCCCAGTCAACGGTACTAGCTATTTGTTCAGATTCGGGCAAAAATGCAGGCAAACTAAGCAAATGATCAAGCAATGGAATCGAGAACATTTTGGGAAAATAGAGAAACACATCGCTGATGTTCTGTTGAAGATCAAAACTATTGATGAAACCGAAGAAACAGAGCAACTCAATCCCCTGTTATTGTCTGAGAGAGCCATCCTAAAATGCGAGCTCGAAAGGATCATGCTCATGGAAGAGATATTCTGGAGACAGCGCTCGAGAGAAACTTGGCTGCAGGTGGGAGACAAGAACACTGGGTTCTTTCATAGAGTTGCTAAAGCAAATAAGAGGAAAAGCAGAATAAAAAGGTTGGTAGTTGATGGCATAATATCGGAAGATGGGAATGAGATCAAGATGGCTTTCTATAACCACTTCTTTGCTAAGTTTGCAGAAGGGAATGAAGATAGACCCTTCCCAGCCAGGTACAGAGACTGTATACTCAACGCGGCGGATAATGAACACCTGGTGAAACCATTCACAGAACTGGAAATTTGGCAGGCTATCAAGCAGTGTAACGGTAGCAAAGCTCCGGGGCCCGATGGATATTCGTTTGAGTTTTACAGGAAAGCCTGGGATATTATTAAACACGATTTACTGAAGGCTTTTGACGATTTCTTCTTGGCCGGCAGCCTGCCACAAGCGGCAGCTCATGCCTTCATCTGCTTACTGCCCAAAAAAGACCCCTTTGAGACGGTATCTGATTTCCGCCCGATCAGTCTACTTGGAAGCCTCAACAAGATCATCGCTAAGGTTCTTTTTAACCGCCTCCTGCCTCATATGAACACACTAATTTCAGATTATCAGTTTGCAGGAAAAAGAGGCAGAGTGATCCATGAATCCTGTTTAATCGCGAACGAAGTGATCGACAGCCGCAGAAGAAGTGGAAGCCTGGGGATCGTTATCAAGCTAGACATTGAAAAGGCCTTTGACACCATCAGCTGGAACAGCATATTGAGATCTCTAAGCCACTTGGGTATGCACTCGAGGTTCAGGAAATGGTTAGAAGGTTTGCTTTCATCATCTAGACTCTCAATTCTTGTTAATGGGGAATCTACCGGTTTTTTTGAGATGACTCGGGGTGTCAAGCAAGGGGATCCTCTCTCACCCTTCTTATTTAACATTGGCATGGACATACTATCCTTTATTCTCTGTGAGATAAGAAAAGAAGGGCTCTTCACAGGTTTTTATATCAATGAAGAGAGTCAAATTGGAGAGGTTACACACCTACTGTATGCAGATGACGCCATACTTTTTTGTGAAGCAAATGAAGCCGAAGTCCGTAACCTACTTGCTGCCCTGATTTGTTTCCAAGCAATTACTGGCCTGAAGATAAATCTTGAGAAATCGAGAATATTCCCGGTGGGCGAGGTTGATAATATACAAAGATTGGTGGAAATTTTCGGTTGTGAGTGGGCTTTCCTGCCAACAACCTATCTTGGATTGCCTCTCGGCTGCCAATCTCCACCCACTGCACACTGGAACAACGTTGTAACTAAAACACAAGCAAGGCTCGAGGGTTGGAAAGGGAAATTTCTTTCATTGGGAGGAAGAATCGTTCTTATAAATGCAGTGCTTGCAAGTCAGAGCAATTATATGAGCTCGCTGTTCATCATGCCTAAGAACATCATCAACTCGCTGGAAAGAATTGAAAGAAATTTCCTTTGGTCTGGTACACGAGAAAAAGAGAAGCTCCACCTTGTGTCTTGGGAAATTTGCAAAACCGCCAAGATCAAGGGAGGCCTGGGTATCCGCGATCTGGAGATAAATAACCGTGCCCTCCTCCTCAAATGGCACTGGAGGTACGCGACTGAGAGAGGAACTTGGTGGAGGGAGATGATAGCTGAGAAATTCCCCAATCAACAATCTGAATGGTTCTCGGGCAGAATATCAGGCAGCCTCGGTGGCAGCTTGTGGGCAAGAATCGTGAAGCTACAACATGAGTTCTGGAAACTTACTCGGATAGAACATAATCAAGGGTTCTGGACTTCCTTTTGGTTTGATACTTGGATCGAGGGCATCCGATTGGCTGACGAATTCCCGAGAGTCGCAGCCGCTGCCGAATCCCCGAACTCTTCCATTGCGGAGTACCTTTCTTTATCTGATGGAAATTGTCAATGGGAAATTCCATTGGCGTATTCACTTCGGGGTGGGGCTGAAAGAGAGAGGGTGAGGCTATTTGATTTACTTAACTCTATTCCTTATCAAAATTTTTTTACAGGACCCGAAAGGCCAAGGTGGCTTCCATCCCCTAATGCTGGTTTCAGCGTTCACTCTGCTTATGATCATCTAGCGGCGACAAGATTTGAGGGGACTCCGGACTTTCCTTCGAAGATGATCTGGACTAGCCTCGTACCAAGCAAGATTTGCATCTTCTTATGGTTGGTCTTCAGCAAGAAAATCCTCACCATCGACAACTTGAAGAAGAAGGGTTTCTACATCCCGAATCGGTGTGCCCTTTGCAAGAAGGAAGAAGAGACCCTGAATCACATCTTCATCACTTGCACCTTTGCAGAACAGGTTTGGGGCAGACTTAAATGCTTTGTCAGGTTGGAAAGCAACGCTGCCACAAGTCTGGATATCTCAGAAAGAATCAAACTTTGGCCGCGATCTAATCCGACAAATCCAGCGCAGTGGTGCTCGAGGACAGCTCTACACGCGTTCTGCTGGTTTATGTGGTTGGAAAGGAATAATAGGGTATTCAATGATCAAGAGAGCCTTGCTCCTGCAGTTGTAATGAAAATTGGTCACAATATTGCTTGGTGGCTGATGACAGCAGGGAAGGTTGATAAAGAAGTTGCAAAAGCTTGGATCAGAGAAATGAAGACTAGGCTGTTCCCACATAATTCGATACAGCGGATTTCAAACTCTCCTACACAGCCCATTGAAGAGGAATAACAGGCCCCTGTTGTTATGATTCTTATGATTCTTATCTGGTTCTGCAGTTCCTGGTTCTACAGTTCCTGTGGTTTGGCTGCTCCTCCTGGGTGAAGCTAATGAACCTTGAAAGCCGGGCGATCAATGCCACATCCAAGGTGTGATACCTGCTCCTGTCTGTCTTTTGGTGTCGGCTTCTTACTGTGCTTGGAAATAGACTACCCTGTTTAGATGCGGGAATGGGGTTGATGTTATTTCCTTTTCCTGTTGTGAGCCAACGCGATAGGCTGGCTGTAAAACCAAGCAGGTGTGGAGGCTTTTCATTGTAACCCTTCTGGCTCTGTGTCATCGATTTTACCTGGGAGTGACCAAGACTATGCAAAGAGAGAGCTGACTGACCACTCTGCTTCCTCTGCTTCATAATCGCCATATCCGCGACCAAGCGAAACCGATCATAAGAGCAAAAGAAAATGTTCGTGAGAGGTTTCTCAGGAGAACACTACCTGAAACGAAATTGACAGGGAAGTTAGAGACTTTCAAGAGGGAGAAGGAATAGTTTAACACATCGATCCAAACGTATCAGCAGGAGAAAAGAGATGGAACAAAGCAATTGAGGGAAGAGAGCACAAAACCAAAGGAGTACAGGAAATGGAATAAAGAGAAAAACCTGCAGATGGGTTAGGGTGAAACGAGCGGACCACAAATGAAAAGAGTATGTGGTGTTTCATCATCCACCATCAAAAACGAAAATATCCCTGCTCCTCTCTCTTTCCTTGTGCCAACCCAATCTCCTTAACCCTCTCTGCTTCCATTTGTCAAACCCCACTCCTCTCTGCTAACAACCACTGTGAAGCTCTCCGCACTTCAGATTAGAAGCCCAGCAATCAACGATAAAAGCGACAAAAGGAAACGGGTCGCCTCCCCAGTTTAGGAATTAGGGTTCTAGACTCGGGGAACATAAAAAAAATCCCAACCACCATTGTGGCCACAAATGGCGTCCTCTGCTAGCCGCGAATTCCCCTCCGTATCTTTCACCCTTCTCCTCGTCTTGATAATCACCTCCACCGCAGCAGAACCCAGATCCGCCGTCGAAGACCCAACCCCAACCCCGACGCCATGGCCGCTCCAATTCCACTCCGTACTCTTCATGAACAAAAGTGGCGCACTCCAGATGATCGACCTCTGGTACGACTGGCCCAATGGCCGCAACTTCAACATCATCAGGGACCAGCTGGGCAAGCTCACCTACGACGCCGAATGGAACAACGGCACCTCATTCATGTACACCCTAGATTCCGATCGCGAATGCAAAACCCTCTACCCGGGCGTCGGCATCCTCCGACCCAATTGGCTCGACGGCGCCAATTACCTGGGCCAGCGCTACATCGACGGCTTCCTCTGCAATGTCTGGGAGAAGGTTGATTTCATTTGGTACTACGAAGACGTCGAGACCAAGCGCCCCGTCCACTGGGTTTTCTACACGGGGAGGCATGCTCATGTGATGACATTTGAGGTGGGAGCCGTGCTGGAAGATGCTGGATGGCAGGCCCCTGCTTACTGCTTCGGCGGCGAACAACAACGGGGGAAGGAGAGAAACCCTGCAGCAGGAAGAATTGAATCTGTGGTCGGTGTTAGGAGGTTCCTCTTCGGCTGACCGCATCAGAATTGTAAAAATGTGCTTGGTTCTATGCTTTTGCAGCTTTTCTCTTCTGCCTTGTGATCGTTTGATTCTAGTTGAGCTCTCTCCATTTCTAGGATGAATAAAAGTTTTGTGGCACCGCTTCTCGTAGATTCCCACTTCTTGGTTGTTAATGATTCGAGTTTGAGCTGAGTTTTGTTATAATATCAATTTGGTCTAAGTTCGTTCAAATAAAGTTCGTGTTTGGCTTGTTTACAAGCTTAATTTGGGATCGCCAAATGAACTTAACAAGCAAAATTTTCGTTGAAATGATACAATGTCGATTGTAGCTCAAGTTTTAACTGCAATTGGCTCACAAGACACCAATATCAAACACTTAAAGGCTTTCAATCTTGTTCGCTAGCCTATTGAGGATGAATACGTCAAAGGCACGTGATCAACTCGTCTACAAACGGCTTGTTCACGAACCGACTCAGTTAAAAATGAGTTGAGTATCAGACGAGTGTTTCTGAAATTGGACGTCAAATCGTTCTTGAGCAGCTTGGTTGGCTTCTATCCTTGGGCTTCGCTTGGCCTTTATTCTATATCGTATATCTGATGAATCTGCTTGCTTGCCCAATTTTTTTCAATGTATTTTTCTTAATTTGAGGATATTGAATAGACATTTTCATGTGTTTTTCATCAACACAAGAAGAATGGGTTAATTGCATGGTTGGTCACTGAGATTACAAAAAACGTTCAAGTTTGGTCACTCGAAATATTTAAATCCATTGATGGTACTTCAATTTACTGAAGCCGTTCATGTTTGGTCACTCTCCGTCCAACTCCGTTAACTTTGGATGATGTGGCTGTTAACTCTCAAAGTTCACCGTTAACTTAGTGACGTGGCAATTAAGAAATAATAAATAAAATTTAATCTATTTTAATGCTGAACTCATTTTTACCATAAAATAAATAAATTAATTAACAAATTATAATTTTGGTTTTGTAATCCATCAACGCCGTCGCCGTCTCCGAGACCCCTCACCTCACCCCTTGTTAGATAGCCACCGTCGGGCTCTCCACCACCGCCACTCTCTTCATCCTGGGATCCACCGGCCTGCTACCTCCCTCTCCCCGTCGTTCGCGGCGTCCAGCTCTCCCAGGGCCTCTCCTTCGCCTTCTCCGCCGTCAAGTACATCCAGTTCAATCAAGATTTTGTCGTCTCCAAATCCACCACAACCAGGTCCTGGCTCGGCCTCATCTTCGCCCTCTCCGCCCTCCTCTTCCTCGTCCTCACCACCGGCTCCGGTTCCGACGGCGGCTGTGGCTCCAGCACTTCCAGCGGTGAGACCAGATCTCCCCGCCGGATCGCGAATCGGTTCCGGATCCTCTCCTCAATCCTCGCCGCGTTGAGGGTAACGAGGTACATGATCGACACGTTGTTCCCGATCACTGGCGTCTCGCCCACGACCAATCCTATGGTGTGGTCGAACAGAACCCCTTCCCGATCCTCGTCCCCAGGTGAATGTCGACGGCGAAAACGTTGGAGACCCGGGACTGCAGCGCTAGAGCCAGGGGCCCCCGGGATTGCATCCATAACTTCTGAGCCAATCGATGCGCCTGAGAAAGAAACCAACATTTTACCAAAACAAAGAACAAGATTGGAGTCCTCGATTTTTCATTTAGGGATTCATTCATACGACAGGGCCGGCAATTCGAAGAGAGGAAACCCTTGTAATTGAGGAGGCAGTACAGACGATTTTTCTATGTGAAATTCAATTTGATAATTATAATATTTTCTATTTTATTTATTATTTTTTTTTGGTAAAAATGAGTTGGACATTAAAATAGATTAAATTTTATTTTATTTATTATTTTTTAATTGCCACGTCATTAAGTTAACGGTCAACTTTGAGAGTTGATTGCCACATCAGCCAAAGTTAACGGAGTTGGATGGAGAGTGACCAAACATGAACGGTTTCAGTAAATTGAAGTACCATTAATGGATTTAAATATTTCGAGTGACCAAACTTGAACGTTTTTTGTAATCTCAGTGACCAACCATGCAATTAACCCCAAGAAGAATTAGAGGAATCACAATAAAAAAAAACAATCTAAACTCATAATTTATTCAAGTCTTGGACAAAAGTTGTGAATGAGGAGGAAGAGTTCTTAAGGCGATTGATCGAATTAAATATTTAGAAAATTTGATAAATTAAAGTAAATAAAATTGTGTTTCAGATTTTTACCCATTATTAAGTTGTATGAGAAAACATTATCTTATAAGGCGGTTCAACAAATCATGTACGATAAATAATTTTAACAAAACTATATACATATATATCCTGCGGGTATAAAAAGCAAAATTTTTTATATAGTGACTTAATTAATGAAATGTTTAGTATTGAAACATAATGGGTGAAAATTGTTCTCTATGAGTAAATAATACACATTCCGAAAAAAAATTCTTTATGCTTAATTGCTTATAAATCTTAATGATGTGAATCTTATGACCATAAAACCAACCACGGAAATCACTAACAAAAAATCATTTATATTTTTCTTTTATCAATGGATCATTTACATATTATCACATAGTTCATGAGTTATATTATAAAAAAAAAAACCTAGATTTTTCGAAGCAAACAAGGAGGAATTCAGTTAACCTCTACTCTGCCCCAGCTCGCCAGCCCTTAAGAGTTAAGACTTCATCTTCTCTCCTCTTCCCGTCGTTGAGTTCTGGCTAGCCTCTGCTCTGCCTCATCCCTCACGATATCACATCCAAGGTATGAATAAAGTTTGAAATATAATTTTTTTTCGGTAACTCAGTAACTGTATTACTAACAAAACATTAATTGTAATTTAACAAACGGTGTTATATCGCTGTGAAACGTTTCGGAAATCTAGGAAGGGGGCGGTTAAGTCAAAAGCGGTGGTGGAGAGTGAGGCAGGCAAGTCGTCATAGTTTTAGGGCTTTGTTTCTGTTTACTGGACGAACAAAGATCGAGTGACCGAGAGCGGCGCTGCAGCGGCAAACTTCGTCATCGCCGCCGTCGTCGTCGTCAAGTGTCACCCGACGAAGGCGTGAATTCAGGGTAATTGCTCCACCGCTCAGTTTCCTTTCTCACTGTTTAGATCTTTCTATCTCTTCGAGTTTTCCTCGCTTCAACCGTGGTGACAAATCTTGTTTCGCTGGTCTTGGTCGATGGTCTCAATCACAACGAACAATCCTAGGGTTTCATCTCTTTGAGGTTGTAGCTAAAGTTTTTGTGTTGGTTTTCATCTCTTTGAGTTTGCGGTTATAGCTAGAGTTTGTGTTCAATCGTTCCTTGTAGGAGGCCACTTTTGACACGCCCATTCCACCATCTGTTAACTTAGCGGGATTCAGAGGGAGAACTTAGCTCAGCCAATCTCTTTCCCTACTTCGTGCCAGCTTCCTGTGCTGGGAAATATTAGTTTATCGATTTTAACATGTCTCGTGCATCTTGGCTTAGGAGGTTGATATTTTGGAATCTGATTGCCTTAAATCAGGGTCCTCTGCTGCTTGTCTTGTTGCTATCTTTTTCTCTAGTCTAGTTACTGCCTGACTGGATATGGGAAATCCCAGTCGATTCAGGCTATTGATTAAAAGAATGCATTCTCACATTGGTTGAATTGGGAGTTCTTTCTTAGTAAATAGTATAATCTATCTGGAGAACTTTGTGATGTTTGGAGATTTCCCCCCTTCATCGAATGCCCACTTCTGGTAGAATGCCAAAGCCTATTTGTTCTTTGTCGTGGACGTAGTTTCCTTTGAAATCATTCGTGGGCTTTTCTGCGTTGCTGTGAATTTTCTTCTTGTGGGTTGCTAGTGAGGTACCAATTTTGAATTCCATCAGGTTCCTAGATTGCTAAATATGATCATGTTTGTGTCTTTTTTCCTGCTTTGAATGTAAGACAGCTTCCCCCATTGATTTGTTGTGAATTTTTGTGTCTTCTCTGTGTGATATTTGAAGTTACAGTGTTGCTAAGGGTCTGTGTGCTCACTTTTCTTAGTTACATTGAAAGGTATTTGAGGAAACTTTAACAAACAGTTTAAAATGCACAAGGTCTTGTAATAAAATTATAATTGGGACAGACATAGGTGGCCAAAAGAGTGGATCAGTTGTGATAATAGTAATGCATCTGTAAAGTTATTCTTTTGTCTTTATTGGTGCGTCATGTGTCCGGAGAAGTACCTTTGATATTTAGGATTTCCTGGAACACAGAAAGTCTGAAATGCAATGTTTATTTTGAGCATTACATTATCACTTTCAGGACCAGTATGAAACTATCAGTGTTTCGCAGTCTGAATCTCCTTAGTCCCTTACTGTACTATTCAACATTAGCTCCCAAGATTTCAAGTACAGATAGAGTTTTTAGTGCTTGTGCTCGTACTGCGAAATCAAACTGGTGTATCACGAAGTTAAGTAGGGAAGGGAAGTTAAATGAAGCACGTGAAGTTTTTGATCAAATGCATAACAGAGATGTAATAACATGGACGGCAGTGATTAGTGGATACATCAAATCTGGATGGATTGAGGAGGCAAGAAGGCTTTTTGATAGAGATGATGCGATAAAGGACGTGGTCACATGGACTGCAATGGTTAATGGGTATTTGAAACTGAATCTCAAGTTAGAGGCAGAGAAATTGTTCATGGAAATGCCATCAAAGAATGTTATTGCATGGAACACCATGATTGGTGGGTATATGCATGTTGGTGAAATAGATAAAGGGCTTGATTTATTCATGAAAATGCCCGAGAGAAATGTGGTTTCATGGAATTTGGTTATCACTGCATTGACAGAATATAGGAGGGTGGAGGAGGCAAAAATATTATTTGAAAAAATTCCTCAGAAGGATGTGGTTTCATGGACAACAATGGTGGCTGGTTTGGCAAAGAATGAGAGAATTGATGAGGCCAGGGAGTTATTTGAAAGAATGCCAGAGAGAAATGTGGTGACGTGGAATGCAATGATCGCAGGATATGCAAAGAATATGAGATTAGATGAGGCTTTTGTATTATTTGAAATGATGCCTGCTAAAGATGTAGCCTCATGGAACACAATGATCACAGGTTTTATTCAAAATGGCGAGTTGGAGAAGGCAAGGAAGTTGTTTGTTGAGATGCCTGAAAAGAATGTGGTTTCATGGACAGCATTGATTACGGGATATGTCCAATTGGAGAAAAGTGAATCGGCATTGATAATCTTCGCGGAAATGATAAGAGATGGTAATGTAAAGCCCAACGAGGGAACTTTTGTTAACATTTTGAGTGCATGTAGTGACCTAGCCGGTCTTAGTGAGGGACAACAAGTTCACCAAATAATTAGTAAAAGTATCTTGCAGCATAGGGCATTTGTTGTGTCAGCATTGATAAATATGTATTCAAAGTGCGGGGAGCTTGGTATTTCTCAGAAGATATTTGATGATACAGCAGTTAATCAAAGGGATTTGATTTCTTGGAATTGTATGATTGCTGCCTATGCTCACCACGGATGTGGAAGGGAAGCGATTATATTGTTCGATCAAATGCAAAAATCTGGGTTTAAGCCTAATGATGTTAGCTACGTGGCATTACTTTCTGCATGTGTGCATGCTGGATTAGTGGAGCAAGGTCTGAAGTACTTTCAGGAGCTTCTCAGTGACGGGTCGATACAAGTAAGAGAGGATCATCATACATGTTTAGTTGATCTATGTGGTCGGGCTGGAAGGTTGGAGGAGGCGTATGATTTTGTCAGGAAACTCGGTCCTAAGGATTCATCTTCAATATGGGGATCTCTGCTTGCATCGTGTACTATCCATGGGGATCTGAGGATAGGAAGGCTGGTTGCTGAAAGGCATTTAGTTGAGGGGCCAAAGAATGCTGGCTCATTTTGGCTTATGTCAAACATGTATGCTTCTGTTGGTAAATGGAAAGAAGTTGAAAGATTGAGATTGGAAGTGAAGGATAAAGGCTTAAAAAAGCAGCCTGGATGTAGTTGGTTGGAAGTTGGGAATAAGGTTAATGTGTTTGTAGTTGGTGACAAGCTTAGTTGTCAGTCTAAGTCACTGCATTCTTTACTCTATGATCTTCACGATAAAATAAACAAGAAAGGTCACCTACTGGATGCAAGTTTTTTGGAGACAGATGGTTGTATGCAATAATTCCTTGAAACATTTTCCATTGTGTTTGGTAATCAGTAATCACTTGGAAGACGTGCTGAGAGTTATAATTAATCCACTTAACTTTTCATTGTTCCTCCCTTCAGTTACATATCTTTCTATTGACAAGAAGTGTTACTTGTGATTGGTATGTAACCTTGGGCTTAGTAAATTACATTTCTGACATGGTGTTTAATCCTGATTTTTATTTGTGCTTATTATGTTTATGGGAATATGGTTTCACCTGTCATCACCATCATGCTCTTGTTAGTTTCTTGTTTGAGCTCAATGTTATTTTCAAGTTTTATGCAATGAGTACTATCTTTCCCTCTTGTTTCTTGTTTGTTTCAGTTCAGCTCATTTCTTAATGGCAGTTGCTAAACAAGTTTTTCCTTGAGTAAGCAATCCTTACCTTTTTTTAATATTTGGATGCAGGGATAACACAAAGTTCTATTCGGTAATTAGTTTGTTTTGCTAAAGAAAGAGTCAGGGTGAAGATGGATGATTGGGGTATGTGTTTCTAACTCAAATTCCAGTACTTGGCGACTATCTGAGTTGGCACATCTGATTTAGCTGAAAAACTTTATCTGTATCAAAGCCTTCGTTAACGTCGAAATATGAAAAGAGATTCTACTATAACGTGCCTATCAAAGCATGACCGTGAACTTGGTTCCATTTGTGTCTCTGGCAACTGTTGATGAATTATATTGGGTTTTAATGGAGTTCTGTAACTCAACGTAAATAATACTTAGTCAAATTGTTACTTGCTAGGAATGCTGTGTGACGACTGACGAAGATGCTCAAAGTTCCTATTGTGATATCACTAAGCCGGCAATATGCTGACCTGATACATTTTCTTATTGTTTACGTTGTAGAGGATGAGCAAATTCAACCTGTGCTTTTGAAGGAGCAACCTAAAAGCAAATGGGATGATGAAGATGTGGATGAAGATGAGATAAAGGAATCATGGGAAGATGAAGATGAATCACCCACGGTATGATTAATGGTCTTACTATGATCTTAAGCACCTAATCTGGATATTCATGCATTGCGATGTTTCTTTTTGAACATGCTGAAAAATGTTTAGTTACTACTGCAACATACATAAAGCAGCAAACAGAGCACGAGCTTCAGTGTTACCATCTTGAAGACGCTGCTCATCTCGGGCAGTTACTTACTCTGTGGCTAGAAAAGGCATTTAAAGTCATCATTGCTGGAATATGTGAACACATGGCTTGATAAATTGTTGTGTGTGCATGGATTTGTCAATACCCTATTTTCATGCAAAGTGTATTTGGCATAGGTGGATGTCCTTAGATCGTTAGAAAGTGCTTTTAGATTAATTCAGTATAATGTCAAGGGCAGGCTTAATGCCTTAGCAAGTCCACGTGCAGCATGTTATGGGCCTGAATATTATCTCACAGTGGTCCTTTCACTAGGAAATCCTCCTAATTTCCTTTTCCCCCCCTTTTTTCTTTGATCAATCTGTTTTGTAGATCTATAAACTCTAGAAATAGAGCAACTCTTTCAAGACTTGGAAATCAAAAGCTGCATTATTAATATTCAGTATTTAGTATGATATCTTCTATGTATATTCCCAGTTACTAGAGGTAATGATCATAATTCCTGAAAGTACGAGCTAAAAATATAACCTTCAACATAAGCTTAAGCAGTTGCCTGGCATCATACCAAATAACAGTCCGATACCAAATATATACTAAAGCTCAATCACTGGACTTCATCAAACACCTTACTTGCTTACCTTGGTAGCTATGCCACTGATATTAATACTGTTTAGTGTCATTTAAAGTTCTTATGTAACTCAATGATGCTCTGTATCAGGTGCCTGCACTAAAACCTGTGCCAGAAAAGGTCCCCAAGAAGCCTGTGGTAAAGTCTACAAAAGAAAAGACTGTCGAACCAGCAAAGGAAGAGCCACCACTAGACCCCGTAGCAGAAAAGCTTCGCCAGCAAAGGTATTAGAGTTTGTTTTCCAAGTTGAACGTTAACTTATCATATAAAATTTAAAGATTGGCTTCTATTTAATTTTCATTGCCATGATGTATGATTAAAAGTGAGCTTGAAAGTATAACGTTTAATATGGTGTGATCTCACTTTGCTCAAGCCAGTTGCATGCTGGAAACATATCCTTTGAAATAGATACTTGATATCCTAGTGTGAGTTTAAATCTAGTCTTCCAGTGAATGCGATTTCACTGTCTGCTGGTCAATGCTACATTTTGTTAATGATCTTTTAAGTTGCAGTCTCAATAAGGATTGTTCCTTTCTTTTAGGCTCGTGGAAGAAGCTGACTACCGGAACACTAAGGAATTGTTTGGTTCAAAGTCGAGCACCAATGAAAAGAACATTGATAATTTCATCCCCAAATCAGAAAGTGACTTCTTGGAGTACGCAGAGCTCATTTCCCAAAGGCTCCGCCTGTATGAGGTGTGTTGATTTATAGCTTTTGTTGTTTCTTTTTTGTATTTGAAGGGGGAGGCCCTGTTATTTTTTGTGGTGAAATAGTGAGGCCCCGTTTTACTGATATTTGTGAGGTTCGAAAACTGCAGAAAAGCTACCATTTTATCTCTCTGCTCAAAACTGTGATGAGACACTCAATGACTAGTTTGAAAGCAGCAGATGCGAAAGAGGTGGCATCTTCGGTTACTGCAATTGCAAATGAAAAGCTCAAAGCAGAAAAAGAAGCCAATGCTGGCAAAAAGAAGACAGGTCACTGTCTTGATTTTGCTCTTCCAGAAGTCATCTCGTTTCTTTTTGTTGTTTGTTGATTCGTGTTCTTGTTGCAGGTGGGAAGAAGAAGCAGTTGCATGTGGATAAGCCGGATGATGATATTGTGGTGACAGGATATGATGCGCTTGATGATTATGATTTCATGTGAGTTTTAATTATCTAGATCAGTATCCAATGTTGGCTGCTGAGAGCCTTTCATTTTGAGTTACATATTTGAAGATATGAACACACAGACGGTCAATGCCGTGGCAGTGGTATTGAGATTTTGGAGGAGGGTAAATGCTTTTTATGGGGATGTGTTTGGGTTGCTAGAGTCGAAAGCTTATTCGAAAGGTCTAATATTTATTAACTGTCCTAAGTTTTTTATAGTGTTGTCTGGTAAGGCGGAATAAACAGCTATTACTCTTATTTTGCTTATGTGCTTCAGAGTTGGAACTTCTTAGGTGTCAATTGTTTGCGGTTTGTTATTGTGAACTGGATGCCAAATTTGGGGCTCAAAAGTGACCTTTTCAAATAGCCCGCCATGGATATGAAGTTTTCTGGAACTTGTTAGTTGCTCGGTTGTATTATTGATGATGATTTGATGATCTTTGGAAGACGGTGCTTCCAAGTTGGTTGTGGTAAGCTGTCTCGGCTACATTCTTTTTGTCTCTCCATTTCTGAACTTCGTGTCTATTCTATCTGGATTGCATTGATGCCCTGCCGAGCTTCATGAGCCGGCTCGATTTTGATCAGGCTAGGTATCATCAGAATGAGAGTGGGTTCCTGCTGCAGTTCCAGTACTGTTTGCATTGTGCCTTTCTCAAGTACTATAGATTTGATCGATCGGTGGCAGGATTTACATTTTGGAGTCAAGACTCTGCCATTGACTCACTTAAGAAGATAGAAATTTGTGAGCGAGAAAGATTAGTGAAACAAATGAGTTTTTATTTGATCACGCGCTTCATATATGTGCGGTCCAACTGAGGGGTTCACATTGCCACTAATATAAGACTGATACTACGAGTTCAAAGTTCACTTCATCCTTCTAATTGCTGCTGTTGTTGTTCGATTACTTTCAACATCCTTTCCAATAGTGGAAGGGAAAATTAATCAAGTGACTTCACTTTGCAGTTTATTGCTGCAAGTCAGAATAAGTATTCTTACATAGTATTTTAATATCCGCATGTCAGAATAAAACTCTGACTTGATTTTTCATTCTCTTTGACAAGTCATCCAAGCTACAGTTTGAACTTCATTCATCGGCTATTTTGGGGCATTTTTTTGCTTACTTATATTCCTACCAAAAAGAAGTAAAAAAGGAATTATAAAGGTACAAGGTTACATCCGACCTGGTAGCGAAAAGAAAACGATAGTAATTAATAATAAATATAACATGAGGTTGAGGGCAAACCCAAAGTTTGAAACTTTCATGCTATAATAATAAATAACAATCATCATTTAATTTTTGATCCCAACGTTAATCAATCAATTCAAAACTTAAACTGCCAAAGCACACAAGTCATTAGCTAACGTCATTTTGATTTTTGCCATGTCGTATAATAAAATTACAAAAGAATGAGACGGCAAAAGGTAGAAGAGAGGCATTCAAGCACTAATCTCCTCCGCCATTTCCTTTTCCCCGCCTTCCATCCCTTTCTTTCTTCCTCCTTTCCTACCTTACTTTTCCGTCCTTTCCCATTTATTCTGCCCCAAAAAGCTTCCAACTTCCCTCTCTTCCTCTCACACTTACTTTCTTCCTTCCGTCTTCTTCACCCAACACAAAAAAAGTTTTTCGAAAACCCTCTCAAGACTTGGCTTTTCTGATTTCTGGCCACAACCCGATTTCCCTTATCGTATTGGGTAGTCGGGAGGAAAAAATAGAGTGTGGGATCAAAGGGAGAGGGGGAGAAGGGGCAAATGCAGCTTCCAACGGAGCTCGCCGCCTGTTCTCGTTGATGGTGGTGGTCTGGTTTTTGTAGCTCCGCCGGCCCGCCTATTGTTGACTATTGAAATCTTTCTCCACCCACATTTCCTGTTTATTAGAATCGTCGTCTTCTTTCTTTCTCATTGGGATTTCTAATTCACCCCATCTTCCGCAATCATTCAATTCACGGGGGCATCTGTCTGTCTTTTAGGAAGGGCAGATCCCGAGATCTCTATCTCTCTTTCCTCTTCTTCCTCCGTGAATCTTCCTTCTCAAAACAAAAAATCCATCCACCCCACTTTTCAATCCCATATCTCGTCGTTTTCCGCCATAGCTCGAAGCTTTTTCTTCAGCTTCTGTTCGACGGTCTATTTCAAGCGATACCCAATTTCAGACGGCTTTTCTCCTTTCCAGATTCAGGGTTTTTTGGTTCATCAATTTGATTTCTCTTTCAGATCATCTCCCTCTGTTTTTTTTTTCTTTCTCCAGAGGAGCTTAATTTTTTAGTTATTATTATTGAGGAAATCCCTGACAATCATCCTCAATCCATTTGTCAAATTCCATTCCATCCGGCCTTCCTTGTGTTTTCCGTTTCCGATTATTCAATAGAATTCTTTATCGAGAATCTCAAACCAGGGGGGTTTCAAAAGGAGACTGTTCCAGCTCATCTATGGAAGGATGTTTCCTCTCATCATATCTTAACCCCATTCCCCAAAATCCACTTCATCAGGGCTCTCAATAGCCAAAAGTCGCAGACTTTTCCATCCTTTCCAGCTCTGGTTTCTGGATTGGAGCTGAATTCTCTTTTGGGAGGTATTCGGTTGAAATGGGTTGTGTGACTTCGAAGCAGCACAAGCAGCGATGCAAGCACTGCCAAGCTCCGTATTCCCCAGTGCCCAGAAGCTACTCGATGCACGTAATCCACCCGCCGCAGTACAAATCCGACAGCTACCATTTGGTAGCCCTAACTTCCTCAACTCTCGGCTCTCTCAAGCTCGAGACGGTGAACGACGGAGGCCAGGTCGATTCTCCCAATAATGACACCACCGCAGCCACCGGCGTCAGCAATGAAGATTGGTTAATACCGGAGACAATTAAGAGCAAAGAAGAGTTCGCAATGGGGCTAATCGAAGCCAAGACCTGGTCCAAAATGATCGACGAGAAGATCCCACGAGTCCCCAATCATCATCCCAAAACCCCAATCATGACTCCACCGGGAGAGCCAGAGACGATCAACACCTGGGAATTAATGGAAGGGCTAGAAGAAGATCGTTTCACCAGCCCTTGCAGATTACCCAACCACATTCGAAGCTTCTCGTTCGATGTCACCCGCGAAGCCACAGACATCGTTGTCGACAGCCCCAAACTAAGCTTCAATCATCAGGTAAACGCCACTCGTTTTAAAGTCGGATCAATCGATGAAACAGAAGCAGAAGCAGAAGCAGAAGAGGAAGAAGCAATTGATAAGAAGCCGCATTTGGGAAAAGGTGGGAAGGACTACTTCGATTCGAACATCATCTCGATGTTCAGGAAGTCGATGCAGGAGCTCTCCCCAAGCCACCCTTACCATTTGAAGAAGCCCGCGAAAGAGAAAGACAGAGTGATCGTCTACTTCACGAGCCTGCGCGGGGTGAGGAAGACGTACGAGGACAGTTGCTACGTGAGGGTGATCCTGAAAGGAACAGGCGTTAGAGTGGACGAACGAGATGTATCGATGCACTCGGGGTTCAAGGAAGAGCTGAAGCAGCTGTTGGGAGGCTGTGGTGGAGGGTTTAGCTTGCCAAGGGTGTTCATTGGGAAGAAGTACATTGGCGGGGCAGAGGAGGTACGACGGTTGCACGAGGAAGGGCAGCTCGAGAAGGCGGTGGAAGGGTGCGAGCAGGCCGAGGCAGAGGATGGTTGTGGTGGGAGTTGTGAGGCTTGTGGGGATATAAGGTTTGTGCCTTGTGAGACTTGTAATGGGAGTTGTAAGATATACTATGAAGAGGAGGAAGAAGAAGAAGAGGAACTAGAGGATGATGAAGAAGGGTTGGAAGGAGAAGAGGGGATTAATGGTGGTGATTATGGGTTTCAGAGGTGTCCTGATTGCAATGAGAATGGACTAATTCGATGCCCAATCTGCTGCTATTGAAGTTCAGTTTAGTTCTTACTTGTTGATGATGCAGTTTCAGGTTGGGTTGGTTCTATTCTGTGATTTGGTTTGTGGGTTTGGGTTTGGGTTGGGTTTGTACAGAGAACAGATTGGTTGGTCTTGATTTTTGGGGTTTATATATTTTTTTTGATGAATGAAAGTAATGTAATACTTACTAATTACAGGTATAGTGGGGAGAAATAACATATATGATTTTTCCAATTGATTATTGTGACATTGCAAATTTGCAATGGTGTATCCAATGCCATCATTAAGTTGATGAATGGGCTGCATGTTGGGGTTTCACTTAATCACTTTCCACTTAGTGTCATCATTTGGGGCTGAAACTTCAAAGTGGCTGCCACAAAAAGGAAATGGGGTGGTGCTTTATTTAGAAGCCACTAAGCTCTTCTCTAATGATAGTTGTTTGAATTTTCAAATGTTTTTGGTACTTTACACTCTGTTTGGGAAGAGGGGTAAATGGGAGGAGGGTGCAAATGTGAGGGGTAAATACAGTTTCCAACACATTTGCACCTGTTTGGTTAATTTGGAACAGTAGGGGGTGCAAAACGGGAGTGCAAATTTACTGTTTCGGCTTACCCCACAAATTGGGGTGCAAGGGAAGGAAGGAAGAGAGGGGGAGGGGGGAATTATGGAATTTTATTTTTCTAATTGTGTTATATATAATTATATAATAATTAATATTATCAATTTCTTCTTTTTATAAATATCATTAATGTAAACATTATTCGGGGTTGACCATTTGACTCTAGAAACAAGTTTATCAATGTTCGTCAAGTCAAATCTAGATCTCTTGGTTGAATCGAATTTGCATTGAAAATTAGAGATACGAGGTGTTTGTGGAAAAGATGGAGAGAAATTGTTTGGTTAACTCAGTTTATTTGACTAAATAGTTAAAACTTACAAATTCGAACGTGTTTGACTAAGTTTGACAATTTAAGATTAAACTAGACACGAAAACCCTATATAGGATGACCAGTTACAAGTTGAGCTTCGAGTTTTGAGATCGCTCGATCAATGATTATACAATTGTCATAATTAATTATTATTTGAGCATTATTATATAATAACTATTTTTAGTAAAGTATAATTATTATTATATAGTAATATTTATTTTATTATTTTATGATAATATTTTAAAATTTTAAAATCTATTTTGTAATTTTAAAATCTATTTTTAAAATCTATTTTAAAATAATATAATTACTTACTTTTCACTCTATTTGCACCCCCTACTTTTTCATCCAAACAACAATTTACCCCTCCACTTAATTACACCCCCCCACCAATTTGCACCCCCCCAGCAATTTACTCCTCAACCTACACCCTCCTGCAATTTGCACTCCTTGTTGCCAAACAGAGCGTTAGAGTTTAGAGTGAAAGCTGTCCTGGAAAGTTGTTGACCTCACCTATATGGATATTTGGGTTCGTTTTAATGATGAATTTTAGATATGAGACCATTTGATCTAGTTGCTTTGAAATTATCTTATTTCATAATGTACTATTTTAAAATGTTTGTCATTCTCTTTATCAATTCAAATTGATGCAAAACAAAACATTTGAAATTGTATCAGCTTATTTGTTGTATCACTATTCTGTGTTACCAAACTAGTAAAGGACTCAACGTGCCTCACCCAAACGACAATTTGTGGCTGGTTTGTTTTGATTGTAAGACTCTCAGGTTCGTATATTTCATATGATTCTATGTGGTTGTGGTGAAGGCTTGTTTTGGTATGGAAGACTCCCTTTGATGTCTTTTATTCAACCCTTCGGATCAAAGTTAAAGTTTGCGAGTTGAATGAGTTTTTCACTATTATACAAATTCCTACATTTTAAGCAATAAGATCAATATTCTTATCTAATTACAGAATCTCCCATGTAAGTATTTATATTATATATCTCTATTTTTTTAGAATAAAGTTTATTTTCATTCTACACATATGACTCACACTAGCACATTGTTTAATTACATATAGTACTTCATTATTATATGTGGATTAATTAATTAATTATATGTGGATTAAGTTGCTAATAATGTTGCTTAATAAATTATTTAATCACGTGTAAAATTATCTTATGCACAGTACTATTATCGTCCTATTCTAGTATTTATTAAAAAAGAAGCACCTTGCATTGCTTTTCCAATGCTCAGTTGTTTTGTTTTTCCCCTTAAATTACTGAGTTATCAGTTGCGAAGATTTCCAGGCTAGGATATTCAGTGCTTTAGTCAATAAACTAACAGACAACGAGTTCTTTCCGTTCTTTCAGGAAATCTTTCCTTCGCTTTAGCATTTGGCTGTAATATCATAATAGTTTCTCAGACGGGGTATTTGCTCTCCTCTTTCTCTTTATCCGAGTTAGTATCGTGTCTTTTTGTTCCTTGAAACTTTCATAGAGTTGTCCACCTAATAGCAAAAAAAGACTCTTTCATCGGGAGTTCGATTGCATATGGACTATCATTCTTTATTATTGTTTGTCTTTTATGTGTTGTCCGGCCATCTTCTTGAGCTTATGTTGGTTTAAAAAAAAGATCAAAACAATGTGATTAGTGAATAAATTATGCAATTAATTACTTTGGAAAATCGAGGAAATGGAAATGGAGATATTTTCTTATTATTATTAAGTAATTAATTAAATTTGATGAGTTTTTAATTTCCTATAAGAAAATTGAGAATATTGTTTAAGCAGCACTAACAGCGAGGCAAATAAAGCATTCCCTGAATTTCTCCCGAAAATCGGCCACTAGATGCAAGCAGTGGCAGCAGGCAGCAGGTTAGGTTAGTTGTGTTTGTGTAGGGAATAATAAGAATGTGTTTTATTATTAATGGATCAAACATGCTAGGCGTGAAGGCAAGTTGTAGATTTGGTGGAAGTCTTTTAAACCCTAAATAGGGGGAAGAGGTGACAAATGGTCAATCCTTCCTCCTCCTTTGATTTTTATAATTTCTTGACTTATGTCCTAATCTTCTTCATTTTTCATTTGTTTTTTTCCCCTCTCTAGAGGAGAACACCATGTATTTAAGTACACAAAAATTATAAGCGATAGAGTGATCCTAAATCAAAGTCAGATTTCAGTATGATTGTCGGCTCTACTATGATGACCGATAATTCTTGGATTGCAAAATGGTTGGGTATGTTCTTCGTAATGCAATAGCGAGATTTGAGCGAAATGCCTCCACCCAAATACGGAGTGAAAAGTGTTAACAAATTTTTTATCACTTAAAAAAATAAAGAATGAAAAGATTATTTAGTAGGAATGAAAATGGGCTTAGATGGGCAGATATGAGATAACTTAGTATCCATACATATGTTCCATGCCAGGTTGGACCCATTTGAATATGTGTTTCAAAGACAAGACAAATATGATGTTTGGTTGAAACATCACGAAAAAATACTCGTTATACAAAATTGAGAGAATGGCATAATTAATGTGCTCAAATTTCTAAGGAACTAAATCGCTCACTTAATGGTAACTACATTTGAGTTGGTGTAGTGTAATATCACTAACCAAATACAAGTAGTTTGACTGAATATTGGATAATTTTTAGATATAAAAATCGAGAATGAAGTGAGTTGGGACGAAACAAAGTGAAAGACGAATTCATACCTACCCGCTACACCTGAAAACCAATTAAGATAGATTGCAAAAAAAAATCATATCAAAATTGTTATTTCCAAAATGTAGATGACTGATAAATTAATGTTTCGCAATTACAAATTTACAATTAAGTCATCAATCCTCCAATAATATATAGTACACTTTTGTGTACTTTTTTCCGTTTTGAATTTCCTGCTTTCTCCTTAATTTTAGATAAGGGTGGGATGGTAATTGCAATTTAATAAATATTGGGAAAAATTAATATAAAAATATATTTAACGAACAAGGGATTAGTCTAGTGGTAATACCACTAACCATGAACCTGGAAGTACCAGGTTCGAATCCTTCAATAGTACCCAAGGTTGTCAACCCGCGGGTCGACCCAATTTGACCCTGACCCGGCGAGAAAAACGGGCCGCACGCACCCGCCGGGCCGACCGCTATTAGGTACCGGGTTGGAGGTCAAATTGTGTCATTTTTTTCTTTAGTTTGCGAAATGCACCTATTTTCCAATTTTTCTTTTCGCCTAACTCAATCTTTGGAATACTAAGTTGAACATTTGAATATTTATGTTATATAAGTGTGTGTGAATTTTCACTATATGTTGGATCTAAGTACAATATGTTATTTTGGTGTAATATTATATGTTATAACTCATATGTTAGATAAGATTTGATATAATTTATGAGGATAAGTACAATATAATGACTCTTTCTATATTTCCGGGCCAAACCGGGCTAAAACGGTTGACCCATTAACCCTTGACCCACTAGCTCGACCGGGTCCGGGTCAACCCGCGAGTTGACAACCTTGATAGTACCTAATAACAAAAAGAAATAACCTATATCACCCTTATCTAAAAAAAATATAAAAAAATCTTTAAAAAGGACGTGCAATTTGTGTTTTTCCCACCTCCCTATTTAGTCGGTTGAAACCCAACTTCTCTTTTTTTTTTTCCTTTGATAATTTTGTTATTATAATAATGATTTCTTTTTTTTCCCAATCATCCAATCATATTATGACACATGTTGTTCTCCTTTAACTTTTTCTTAATTCTTACCATATTTATCGGTCATTTTCTTTATTTCAAACATCAATTTGATTTTATGTGATTTATGTAATGGTATTCATTTTAATAATATAATATTTATCCAAATGATGATGGGTCATCGTCGTGTCTTGCATTACTATACTACGATATTTTCATTACTATACTATGAAAATACCATTCAACATAGTATCAATGTTGAATGGTCATGATATACCTTTGTATCATGGTGATATATTTACATATCATCAAAGCACATGATATTTTCAAGTATGTAAAGAAATTATTGACATTGTAATAATTTTTATTTTAATGTATACAAAAGTTGATATCATTTTTAAGAGTTGATTTTAGTTGATACCACATAATGGAATTAATCTATTAGGTTAGTGTTGGTAAACTTTGAAATAAAGAAATGAATACGTTTGCTTTAGCTTGATATTGAAGTACAAAAACATGTGCTTAATAGTTATTAAACAAAATTTGGATTGTTTTTTTAAAAAACAATTCTTTTGGTTTGACTTATTATTTAAGATGTAAGTGCATGGTTGAAAAGTTTTATTAATTATTCAAAATCTAAATACAAATTCAAGATATTTAGCCATTTTTATATCTTAGGAAATTACCAAAGCATAATTCATTTACTAAGTTGAATCTAAGGATAATTATTGCTCCATCTCACATATTTTAGCCTTCTGATGTCAGAGTGTAAACTTTAGTATTAAGAGTTTGAGAATATATAATTTAGCATTAAGAGTGCAAACTATATAATTTCTTATTGACATGAGAATATATGGTTAATGATACAGGGTGAAAGAAAATATTTATGGGCTACTAGAGACATATTTCCTTAGGTTATGGGGATCAAAATTTGATGAAAATTACACAAATAATTTATGAAATGTTTATCATAATTATTTTTTATACGTTTTCTTATTTTATTTGGAGATTGAAAGAATTGGGGTTTGGAGTTTAATGTATTATATGTAGACACTCAGTGGATAATGGCTACACCGTCTTTTTTATTTTTAATTTGGAAAGATATGACTACATAGTTTAAAGTTAATGTATTTTTATCCTGTAAATTGATGTCTTTTTTTTTGTGTATGATGGTAATGAATGGTTGAAAATTTTCATTAGATCTATTTAGTTTTAGGGTCCGGATAGTATAACAACAGCCTTGTTGTTGTTATAGTAACAACAGAATTCATTAAGGGCAAAAAAGTAAACTAACATACAAAATTAAAAATATCAATAAAACCTTCTTCGTCTCTCTCCTCGCATCCAATCCCACTCTCTGCCTCCTCCCACCCAGAACACCTCTGACTCTGTCCATCCTGCATCTTCCGTCGAGCTATATCCTTCCCAACAAACGCAACGGCGGCGGTGGCGCCAAATCGACTTCCTCGCATTTCACTTGCTGCTCGCGATCTAGCAGCTAAGAGAACTCCAACCTCCTCGACGTTGAGGTACTCTCCCCTACCAGATCTGGTCTCTCCTCCGCCACCTAGCTTTTCTATTTGTAATTGTTCTTCATCAATGGCAGATCAAGATGGTGACGGAGAAGGCGGTGGTCGTTGGAGCTCGAATCCTGGCATTGAGCATGGCCGATTGAGCACTGTCGCGACACACTCTGCCGGGAGCAGCGTTTCTCGATGGAAAATCGGCGATCAGGTGTGCGCTCTCCTCAGCGGCGGAGGCTACGCGGAGAAAGTGGCGCTTCCGGCGGCGCACGTTTTCCCCATACCGGAGGGCATCTTTGGCGACGCCGCCGCTTTCCCTGAGGTCGCGTGTACTGTCTGGTCGCGTGTACCTTTTTAATCGACGGGTCCAGCCACTCATACCAGCGAGCCTTACACTCCTTGGCAGATTTCCGAACGAGAAGCGAAGAGATACGAGCCCACTGATTCTTCCCATACTTCATAACCGCCGCCTTGAGGATCTCATCCTCGGTGTTTTTCCAAACACCGCCCTTTATCATAATCCTCATCTTGACGCACGGTGTTGTTGCTGAAACCTACAAGAAGCTCGAAGAAGAAAGTAAGCAGAGCAACCGAATTGGAGGATGTCCAAATCGAATCCAACCAATGCCGAGTTGCGAAAACCCTAACTTCCGGCAATATTTCATACGCACTCAAGGACTAGGAGGGCGGCGAGGTTTGATGTGTACACGGGAGGTGTGGTGGAATTGTAATTGTCTAAGCAGCCGACGGTGTTGAAAGTGGGCTGATGTTGAGATGTGGTCGAGAAAGCGAGGAGGTGGATTTTGTGGAAAAGATGATGGGTGTATTATTATGTTTATCGTATTGGTATGCAGATGACAAATCTTTCATATGCACACTGGAAACCTCCTAATGCAGACCACAAACGTGATAAAAACCCACAAAAAAGCAAATCAGAAACCTCATAATGCATACCACAAATCCCCTAAAACAAACCACAAACCTCACAAAGCAAACCACAACATTTGTGAAAGCACACCAGAAATCTCCTAATGCAAACCGCAAACACGGTAAAGCAAACCACACAAAAGCAAACTAGAAACGTATTAATGCAGACCACAAATTTCATAAAACAAACCAGAAACCCCGCAAAGCAATCCACAAAAATTTCGAAAGCACACCAGAAACTTCTTAATGCAAAGCAGAAACACGATAAAGCAAACCACAAAACAAACCAGAAACGTCCTAATGCAGACCAAAAATCTATTAATACAAACCAGAAACCTCACAAAGCAAACCAAAGAATTTTCAAAAACACACCACAAACCTCATAATGCAAACCACAAACACGTTAAAGCAAACCACAAAAACAAACCAGAAACCTCCTAATGCATACCACAAATATATTAAAACAAACCAGAAACCTCACAATGCAAACCACAAAGTTTTTGAAAGCAAACCAGAAACTTCTTAATGCAAACCACAAACACGATAAAGCAAACCAGAAACTTCTCAATGCAAACCACACACGCGATAAAGCAAACCACAAAAGGAATACAAAAATGTGAGAAACCAAACCATAAATCTCACAATGCAGACCATATCATCCGGTGGTCGTTGACCGTTGACCGAACTCCGATGACCGTCAGTGAGCAGATTCCGGCGTCGATAGGCATATTCCGGCCCCGATGACTAGATTCCGTCGCCGGTAAGCATATTCCGACTCCGGTAAGCATATTCCGGCGCCGGTGGCATATTCCGATGAGAAAATAGCATATTCCGGCGACAAAAGGCATATTCCGGTGATCGACGACCAGATTCCGGCGACCGGTGGCCGAATTCCGGCGACCACAATTTTAGGCAGAAAATAAATTTTTTTTTATATTTTTTATTTTTTATATTTTTTTAATTTTTTCATAATGACAATTATACCCCTGCTTTGATTTTACACTAGGTCAACTCAACTAATAAAAAGTCATCACAACCCTAGCTTCCTATTGGTTGAAGACTAGTGTTGTTACAATAACAACAAAAGGAGTGTTGTTATAGTATCTAGTCTTTCGAAGTACATATTCTAACTAATCGCGGATTTCAATTCAAAGGAATTACATATATATATATGTACGTACTGCTTTTCCTTCCAACTTCCACGCCACGGTCCTCTCTTTAATTCTGAAAGCAACACAACTATTATGAAAATGAACCTACCCAATTAAATAAAATACACAGAAATGAACCCACCTAACCTAATTACTATCGAAAGGATTAATACATGTAATTAAATTCAATTTTCACCACCAACGCCGTCAACTGTCTTTCTTAATTGGATTAATTATATTCCGTTTCTTGTTGGGTATATTACTTTGTTGTTATGGTGAAGTCTTTGTTGATTGGATTCGAAGACATTGTTTCCCGTTGTATAATAATAAGGGCAATGTCTATTTTTTACCCAAACCTTTTTCAGATTCTTTTATTTTAACCAAACCTATAGAAATTCTATTTATTATCCAAACGTATTATAATTTATCAAAGTCTGGGCATTCATTCTGTTACCGTTACTTATTTCGTCCACGTGAGAGGTGGGATTTTATTTTGTTTTTTTATAATCTTTTTATTAAAAATAGTAAATGATGGTATTCTGACCGCCACGTAGGAAGTCAACTCATTATGGTCATACTTAGTCAGCATTACTAACAGAAAAGTTGACGGAGAGTTAACGTTTGGATAATTTTTAGGAATTCAATAGGTTTGGTTAAAATAAAAGAATCTGAAAAAGGTTTGGGTAAAAAATAGACATTGCCCTAATAATAATGCCCTAACAGAAACATTGTTGTTCAATGCTCACTTCATTGTATGCAAAGTGAGAAAATGACATTATAGCTAGCTAGCTAGCAGATTCACCTAGATGTATGATGTATCTATCCAACATCTCATAACAAATATTTGTTGAAAAAAATAAAACCTAAGCAAGTTGGTTTGTAATCATGTATATAAGAAAATGGAAACGGTGGAGCACATATATTATAAAAGAAAATACAAATCGATTTCTCGAGTAGCGAATTATCTGACATATCAAGATCATGTATCTAGATAATAAATAAAAGCCGAATGATGAAAACTGTTGCTCTATTTCAAATTTCCTGCAACGAGAGTGATTATAGGAAGGACATTTTGGTCTTCACAATTACTTATTTTCTTATTTATTTATTCATAAAAAAGACATGCACTGGGATTTGAACCTTGGTCTCTTTAAAGGCAAGCAAAGATCATAACCAATCAGACTAAGTATATTTATTGTATCTATTTAAATTCAAACATACACGAACCTAAATTATGAAAATCATATGACTTTTTTAAAGATTAGTTGGCCACTGAATCTCCCGTAAGTACTTATTTGGTGTTTTAATACTTTGATTATTTTAGTTGTAGTTTAATACTTAATTTAAATTTCTATCTATTTTATAAATATACAATAACCCTAAAATTGCAGCCCAAATATCACTGGTTCGAATATTGCATATCGAATTGCAATATTAAACATGTAGAAGCAATATCGACTTCTTAAATTAATATTATTTTTCAGAATTACTATGGAGAAATTATATCTTTGTGCAAACTATATGAGACTGGTTCTTTTAATGTTTTAGTCGGGATAACCGCTACATTTTAAACTTCTTCATAATCTTGCATGATTGGATCCAATGATCATTATACAAGATTGTGTTTAATAGGGTGGCACATTTCACCACTTTTTGGCGTGTTAATGAATTTGTAGGACAATGACAGGTCTACATCTACACTCATCACAATCTACACATCATATAAATGTGAAATGTGAAATGTGAAATGAGAAAAGAGGGATTCCATTTCAAATTTGATGCGTACAGAGCAATTTTTTAGGGGTAAATTTAGAAGATGCCAGTGCGGTCGGTCTGTTGAGCACGAAAGTAAAAATATGTTTTCATTTAAACGGGCCCAAACTGTTATTTGGCCCACTAATTTTGCACCCATCGCCAATGCAGTCAAATTCGGGATTTTGATCGTAAAATCGTAGGATTTTACTTAAGGATTCCGATCTTGATTTTACTATAAAATCGGCGGACCTTAAAATCGTTTAAAATCGGGACTAAAATCGTTAAAATCGTAAAATAGTACCGAAATCGGGATTTTGATCGTAAGAGAACAAAATAGGTGGTTTGAGCCAATTTAAAATAAGTATAACTGTTTCAGCGGAAAGGGCAATGGAATCTTCTCAGATATTTTTCTATTAGAAAAATATTCAAAAATAATAAAAATAACCAAATTAGGGTTCGGTTAATCTCTTTCCCTTCACCCCATTTAACTTATTGGTAAAACACCTAACCTAATATTGGAAGTATGTAAGAACTAACATCATTATTAACTAATTAATTTATTAATGAATATATTTGTACCAAGCCACTAACATTACTTATTTTATTGGAGTTCAATTATTTTTAGTTTTAAATCATACTTAGTAGACGATGTCGAAATATTACTTTGAGTTAAACAACCTAGACATAACATGAAAATAAGAGTCAAACCCATGAACTATATCCCTTCATCATGAATTATTTTGAGTTACACATTAAATAACAATTAAAATAGTGATTTTGGAACATTAATCTTGAGAATTATCTTATGGAAAAAAAATCTTCTAAATTATCATTTTAAATGCTATGTATCTTTGTGATATTAATAATTTACCTTATTAATATTCTTATATGCTATGTTCTATATGGTACTTAAAATCCTACGATTGTACGATTCGATTATACGATTTTGATTTTACCTCAGTTTTCGATTTTAGGTAAAATCTCGATTTTAACTGCTTTGCCCATCGCAGCCTCTCCAAATCTTCCTATTCTACTCGCCGGGTCATCTCCTCCACTACAAAATATCTCCTCATGTACTCAAAGTTCTCACTGAAACCTAATATCTACAACTTAGGCGCAGAGGGAGCAACCGATGGATTGTAGCGACCCCCACTATTTTGATAGCTAATCAAGAAGAGCGTGTTTGTTTAGTTGTATGGTGATTCACTTAATTAACAATTTTTATTCCGTTGACAGCCTCCTCTCCGCAATTGTATTGTGTTCACGAAGATCTGAAGGCGCAAGTGCAACAGGTCCAGGGGTAAACAATATGTATAAAGCGTTGGCCAAATTGAATTGAGTCATTCTACTTGGAATATGAAGATTTTTGTTTAATTGCTTTGGTTCGTGATGCAACTATGTTATGTTTGAAGGTAGACCAACGCAAACAACAGCACAGCTCCAGGGCTATTCTGCACATTAGGTAGTTGGGGCATTAATTGATAATTATTTGAGATTATTCCTACAAGTACATAATTTGGAACGTGCCATTATATTGCATTGATTAATAGTTGTTTGAGATTTTTCAAATGAGTGATTTGACATGTTAAACTCTCTTATTTTTGAAAATGGAGTTTTCGAAGTGAAATATGAAGATTTTGGATTAAGCTTGGTTTCGTAACGCCCTTATGGGTGTTTATTCTCTAAAATGCAGCTGTCTTTCAAAGTGCCCGTTGCAAATGGCAAGTCAGGATACAACGATGGTACCGGTACACGTTTATATCATTAGTAGGTAGCAGATTGTGTCCATTCTACTATATCATTTAGCTAAATACTTAGTTGTTCTTTTCAACTAAAAATTATGCTTAAATGCTGTGATTGGCCTCAGAAATGTATGTCTTTGCATTAACTGTTAATGATTGTGAGTTTTGGTTTAATGGTGAAAAGTCCATTTATTTAGAAGTCTAAATTGGGCAAACCTATTGGACAATAGGAATGCCATACATTAGTGTCGTGGGAGGTTTGTTTGATGTCTCAGGGTGTTAGATTTTTAAGAAGGTTGTTTGTTGTGGCAGAGAGTCCCTAAAGCTAGCGAGGTATTCCTATGTGGGCTTTTTCTTTGTTTGACTTTTTCTCGCCTTTTTTCTTATCTCTTTTTCTATTTTTGGTTTTTGTGTGCTACCTTCAGTTGCTACGTCTTCATTTGTGAGCCATCTATACTTTTCTTATTCAGTGCCTAAAAATCATATATACTCGATTGCATAGTAGTTACTAATAGATACATTTATACCAATAGAGAGATTTTAAGTTTTATCAGTTGTTAGTTTTAATATTTACTTACATTGGTTGTTTATGTAGTTTGCTTTGTAATATTTCTCATTATACAACTAATTACTATGGCTACGTAGTTGTATAAGTGGGGGTTGGACATGATAGTTCTTAGAAGCATCAATACTTGAAGGTTATTATAATGACCAAATTCTAAAGTTATGGTTTGCCTTCAACTTGCTTGGAGCATTTCAATTATGCATCAATTGTTCTCTCCGTGTAGTTAACTCTCAGACAAATCGAAAATCTTGCTGATATGTGCTTGATTGTAGTTAAATTTAGGGTTCTACTGCATTGTTGCTTTACTCTTTTTTCGTGGTTGAGTCTGCTTCAAAAAATTTAGTTTGATTTTAGAAAATTTTGCTTCTGCAGTTCTGTCTTGCCACCAACGCGTTCAATAGATGGAGACGGGAGAGGCGAAGGCTATTTTTGTGTTGTTGTTGCTGGTTTAGGGATCGGTTTGTGAAGAAGAGGGAGAAGAGAGGGGGAAAGGGAAATGCAGGAGAGGGGGATAACTCTTTTCTCCGACAAAAATGGAGTGAAGAAAGGAATTATGATCAGTAAGAATATGGTTATCTTACATAACGTTCTCTATTCTGTTTGAATTGAGCTTGAGAGGCAGTGATAAGGACGAGCTGCAACCAATTCATAGTGAGAAGAGAGCTATGAACTGTGATCGTGTCTTATTTCAAGTTAGAAGGTAGTTTCAGTATAAGGATTATTTAATTTGACAAGTTGTTTCATCCATGATTCTTGGTAGTTTCAGTGCCATTCTAGCCAATGTTTAGTCTGTAATTTTTGAGAATGGATGTGCGAGTAATGACTTTCACTTAGCTTCAACTATTATGTGTGTAATTATTGGCATGTGATAGAATTCTCTTTTCCTTTTTATTGAATTCATTTTCATACTCTAATTGTATTATTTGTACATAGGCAAATCATGCTCGATATGGCAACTCGCTGATATGGCTGGTGCAAGGAATGAAGCCATCATTAGAATTCAGACCGACAACGGGGAGGGATGCCTAGGACTAATTCAATGATGATTGATGATGGTATAATAAAAACTGCAGTCTGCATCAGCACCAATTTCTAGGCCTAAGTAAAGGTATTCAACCCAGAACTCTGCTTAGCGCTAAAAATTGCCCTCACCCAACCTTGATCCTATTTGACCCACTTCTGAAGAGTCAAGATATATGACTAATCCTCCCCGTTCGTATTTTCTTATTGACTCTTTCTGACCCTGTAGGTTGGGGCGGGTCGAGAAGAATTGGATTAGTGGGTCGGTCCTAATCAAGTGGAATCCCAATCCCTTCACTCTCACTTGCTTTCTCTCCCATTCCACAAGTGGGTAACATACAGTAATCCGGCCAACGGGCCGGGTAATAAGCTAGTCATTACTATTAGGCATCAATGTTATAGATTACTTAAATGTTTAACGTGTTGGGTAAGTGGGTTGTAATTTTTCTAATCAATTATTTTATCTAATTGTTAAGTTGGTAGTTAAATTATGGTGTTCAAGACTACTCAAATTAGACGTGGACCGAATGAGTGGATACCTAACCTAATTAGATTTTATTGAAATTATAGTATCTAACACATCAAAGACTGAACAAACACATATTTCCTCACAAAAAAAAAATGTGAGATGTCATGCGAGTGAAACCGAGGAGGTTTTGTTGAAAATGTCACAAAATTTCCTTGGATCGTGTTGCATGCATATATACCCGTGGTCATGGATCGTTGTTTGTTTTCTACAACATGCTACTAACAATCAATCGACATAAATACATATATCCCTAACGATCCTTGATAATCTGACGAGAAAGTGTTTCAAAAAAATTACTCGCTTTGTAATTTGATTCTAACATTAAAAAAAATTGATTGACTAATATATGCACAACATTTCTAAATCCCATTTGACCAATAATACAAATCTAACGCATGGTTTACTCTTTCCTTACCCAAACAATATTACAAAGTTGATGTTATGCCAAAGATGTGATTACATTTATGGCTACCTGCTCTCTCAACCTCCAATATCAAATCGTGTCCCTCAACGCCGCCCACCACCAAAATCAAATCACGAGTATCTGTAGCTGCAACCTACAAACAAACAAAATTGCTTTCAAGAACAAAGCTGGGCCAGGCCGCAACAAACCAACCCATCAAGGTAGCCCGGCCCGCCAATCTACTGGACCCTTGACCCTAACCCAATCCGATTCTCTTTTCCCTTGCTTAATTACTGCAAAAAAAAAAAAAAAAACCCCTCCATTTCGAGGATAAACGAGTGTGCAGTGTGCTAATCTATAATCCGTTCCAAAATTAGTTTTGCGTTTACTTGGCATTTGGAATTTCTGCTCGACATAATATAGTCTATTGTTTCTTTCACAATGATATATTGTTTCTCTTTTCTTGGTTACAAGTTGCAGTAAGCTAGTGCCCAGTGGCGATATTTTTTTGAGTTTTGTGACGATGATATGCATGTGGGTTAGTGAGGCTGATGTTGTTTTGCTGCCGAAAGTGACATTTGTCGAGAAAAGGTGATAGGGAAAGTGGCAACTACTCTTGACTGTAAACTCACTTTCCCCAAGTAGCAGAACTTACAGCTGGGTTTCATATCAGATTGGGAACTACTAACTAGCTAGGAAGAAGAGAAGCCCTCCCCCTAATTCATCTCAGATTTGAACTCACTATGACACTATCACTGGTTATAACACAACTCCTAAACGTTACAAATGATTTCATCTTATTATGTACATTTCATGTTATGTTTGTGTGATATATGGTGATGAAGAATGTCTAGCGTCCCTGCCAAGCAAACCAAACGGTGTCGTTCTCCTCATCCCTTGACCATCTTCAGGATGCGACGTCGTCTGATCATCAACGGACACCTAGCAGAAGAATCGTCCTTCCAAGTCCAATTTCAGAAGAAAAACATCGAACTGCTCAACCCTAGCCTCCCTCCTATGGAAATCCTCAGAAAGCATAGCAAAGCAAAATTGAAGACTTCACTCAAGCAATCACCGACTCCAGAAGGGCTATGATGATTTCCTCAAAGGAGCGTCTTCGGCCTCTCCAACGGCTATCTCTCGCTTCCCAGTATATATAGCTAAGTATCTTTCTTTTAGAGTGTGTCCGTGAGTTGTAGAAGAAAATAGCAGAGTGTGCATTTGTTCTTCTTTCGGTCCAATTGTAGACTCTTCAAGTTATCTAATTCACAGTGCAAAGAGCTGGGTGAATTAGATTTGGGAAGAGGAGTGTTTCTGGTGTGTAGTTTGCAAAAGGACCAACTCTGTTTGGTTCGACCAAGTGACTTGGTGTGTTTGTTCTGTTTTGTAATCTTTTCTTCAAATCAATAGAGTATTTCCATCTTATATAAAGGTTGATAGCAAGATAGATCAAAGGTGTGTGTTTTCGAGAGAGCTTTTCAAAGTTCTAATTTCAACAGGTGATTCGCTCATAAAACATGAAGGAAGATGAGCAATCAGAGAAATGAAGGAAGATGAGCAATTGATCCTGGTAATTAGAGTAGTAGGAAGGAGTTGGCAATTGGCAGATAGATTGGAAGAGAAATACAGGGGACCAGTTTATCCTTGCTATTGTTGCTGGACTCTTATCTTAGTTGACATAAATGAGCAGGAATTTTCAGGTTACATCATTCATTATACTGAACCATCCATTCATCCATCCACCCTCCATCTATCTCCTGGATTTGATTCCTTCATCTTATTCCTTTCATCCATTTAAGTGGCTGTCTGGTACTGAACTGAAGAAGAGCTATAGATCGTGTGGCCGGCCATGTGACTGGCAGTGGTCCTTGTTAGAAGACAACAACACTACATATCTCCACTTTACAATCAAATGCTAAACAAAAGATTCTCCACTTCCTACATGGATTGCGTTGATCGTGTCATTCCAAATGCATATATGAGGCTTGTAGCTAGCCTAAGAAGGAATATTTCCTCATTACGATCTCAACAACGCATGAAAGCCAACAAAAATCATCATCCAAGTAGTTAAGGTATATAGAGTCACAAACATGATAATCTGAACACATATATAAACCTAGTCTCGTTAAAATGTCAACGGTAACCACAAATTCCAGGTTTGAATTCGTCCTTCTACAAAGGATCCCTTGAAAGGCACTCTTTCGCCCTTATGAACTTAAAAAAAACTCGGCTACCAATTGGAAGCAAACCATCAATCGGTGTGCTATGCTCTTAGGTTTGATTCCCGCAACCTCTCATTCTATACACAAAAAAGTGGAAACCCTCTTTTAGTTGTGCGCTTGAATAGTTCATTCCCAACTAGCTAGTTTTTTTTTTTATCAGAAGAGATGAGATAACCTCGAACAAATGTCCCGACCTCCGACCATAATACGAAGAACTAGGCTGGCAAAACATTTGATTAGAAGAGGGGTTTTCTTTGTCACAACCATGAGATGATTTTTAACATCATGCCTAGTGTTAGGCTGGTCGAATATGACACAAACAATGAAACAATGGACCATTTTTTATTCACCAAAACACACATAACTACCTTCCATTTCTCCATTCCCTACTTGCCCTCTTTATGTCCAAACTCCGCAGCTGCATGGGCCGCACGGCCCAGAACATCCGAGACCCAGACCGCGCCCTGGGCGAAGTAATTGCTGTTCACCACCGCATGGGCCGCTGCAGCTGCAGTCCGGCCCGTGATGGTGGCTGCAGTCACGGCTGCCGCTCCCGTGTACAGCACCGCCGTCTTGGTGATGTCCGAGACGTGGTACTTCTCGTCGATAAATCTCGCCGTCTCCATCCCCGATTGTATCGACTCCGTCAGCCCGATTCTGCTGCTGAGCTCGGCCACTTTCGCTGCAGCAACAGCGGTCACCTTGTGGGACTCGTCCAGAGCTCTGGCCTTCACCAGCGCGTCTTTCCCCAAGACGTATCCTTTTGCTAGCATCGTTTTCACCACTTCTTGTGCCACTGTCACGGCTTCCCCTGGGCTGGAAGCCAAGTGGTTCACATGATGAGTTGCCTGTGGAGAGATTATAGAAGTCTGATTGTAAGATTTAAGGGAAGAAAACTTGTCATAAATGGAGAGGAGATTATAGAAGTCTGAGGTGCGTTTAATACAAAAGGGATTATCGGGATTAAAATAGCAGATCACTTGATTATTGAAGACTCCGAGATCATGTCACTGATCAGTAAGTAAGTAGTAATAACACGAATTGTTGGGAGAAGTTCAACAACGGATCATTTCATTTACTAATGATAACAAGATGTGTGTTAAAGGCAAACCTCATAGTAAGCTCTGCCTTCAGGTTTCCAGGAAGGGCTGTTCCAGGGATTGTCAGATTCATAGATGTGGGAGCCCCAGAGTGCTATGCATACAGGTTGATCTGCAATTCTAGCTCCCTGAAGGAAAAGAGTGACATAAGAAAAGATTAGATTGTTAGACTGATGGGTGGGTATGCAGGAAGATTGATGGCCTGTGGCTAACTAAAAGATTCACTATATCTAGCATTGCAGAATGCATATAAATAAACCACATAAAGAGAACAGGCAAAAGAAACTAGCAGTGATAGGGATTTGAGAGAACCATCCATATCAATTTTGTTCTTCACTGTCTGCATGTATATGGGAACTTACACTGAGGAGGATGGCAGTTTCAAGAGCATAGGCATCTCTAAATGTCACATACGCAGTGCAAGCGTATTCGCCAGATCTGTCTCCACAAACAACTCAGCATATATGTTAACAAATAACACATTCTGCGCAATCCGAGCTCAGAAGCTCCAATAGCAGACCAGGTATGTGTAGTAAACAATAGTACTTGAGTCGAGAGTCCGGTAATCCAATGCGCGAACAAGCAAGTATTAGGATTCTACTTGAAGGATGTGTATTGAAGAAGCATTTACCTGACCATTTCAATGTGCTCAACTGTACCACAGTGAGAGAAGAAATCATGGACATCCTTCTCTGTAGCTTTATGGGACAAGCTTGTTACTTCAATTGTATACCCACCACCAGGATTCATGGTTTGCGGATTGGAAACCTGGAGACTAGATGAGGAGCAGAAGAAGTACGTATAAGCTATTTGAGCAATCTAGCTACGATAAATAGTTAAATACCATTTCCTCACTTCAATACCTAGCTACCTGGGAGAACCACGGATCTAGGCGTGCGAATTAGGGATTAAACGAATTAGGGATTGGGAATTTAGGTGAGGAAGAAGGGGAATTTGGGATGAGAGAGAGAGCAGAATCGGTTCCCGGGATGGGAGCCGCCGAGTTGAGAGGGAGAGGGGAAGGGTCGGCTAGGGTGAGATGAGAGAGAGAGAGAGTTGGGAACAATTCTGTATTATTGCTTACCCATGACCTAACAGAACATCATATATATATAACCCGACTAATTACTGTTTACTACCCGAATAATTAACCTAACCGAATGAATCCCCATAACTCTCCTATCCGACAATATCCGAATAATATGAAATAACAAATAAACTCTCAATAATTATGTTTCTGACAATCCATCCCCCTTGAAACCCACCTTGCCCTCAAGGTGGTCCATGGGTCTTGTCGTCCTCTTTCTTGTCCTCTCCTTCAGCGTCCCGCTCCATTTCCTCGCCTTCATCCTCCCAGTTCCCGACTAGCAGCATCAAGTGACCCTTGGCACACTGGTGGCCCACAGTATACCTCTCGTCACAGTTAAAACAACGCCCGTCCCGGCGTTTCTGGTCCATCTCTGCCTGAGTCAGCCTCACGAACCCGCGCGGTGGCGCCCTGGCTGGGAATCGCGCCCCGACCGGGGTCCCGGTCGCCGGAGGGCTGGTAGCCGCCGCCGGTGCTCCCGCGCCGGTACCTGCCCCGCTACCTCCTCCACCACTGGCCCTCTGTATCCTGCCCACCGAGGACCTCCAGCTGGCCAACTCCTCTTCCTTCCGCCCTGCAAGTCTAAAAGCCACCCGGAGAGATTCCGGCTCAAATACCTTGACCGCCGTGGCCAGCTCAGGCCTCAGACCCGCCATGCACAGCCCCACCAGAGTTTCTTCGGTCATCTCCTTGCATTGGTTTCCCAGCTTCAAGAACTCTGCTCTATACTCCGCTACTGACCCGGTCTGCTTGAGCTTGGCCAGTTGCTCTGGAGCCCAACCTTCTGCCCTCCCGAACTGATATCGAAGCTCATCCTGGAACCGAGCCCACGAAATCCTCTCACCCGCTGCTGCGTAAGCCCGCTCAGTCCACTCCCACCACTGGAGGGCATCTCCCTCTAAGTAGAAGGACGCCAGATGCGCCTTCCTTTCCTCCCTGATCGGATGATTTCTAAACCACCTCTCAGCAGCATATAACCACAGTCCAACATCGCCAGTGCCATCAAACTTCGGAAACTCAATCACCGGTGGTTTAGCTCTAAATACCAGTTCATCCTCATAGTCATACAGAGGGTTACTGTACCCATACCTGTTACCCCCGGTTGGCTGCATCGAGTGGCCCGACCCAGGATGTCGGTACTCTGGCCCCGCGTTCTGCATCTCCGAATAGGCCCAGTCGGCCATCTCCTGCTGGTACACCTCTCCTCCTCCAGCCTTCGCTCCGGATCCCTGTCCCTCCTCCAACCGGCGTCCCGGTCGAGCCCCGTCGGCCCTTGGGGTGCCCCATGGCGGATAACCAGCCTCGGGGCCCTGTCTGTCGCGCCTGGGCCCTCCTCCCGGTCCGTACCTGCTGCTGCCCATCGGGCCGCGACCCGGTTCCACCCGGTTCGACCCGGTCCGGCCTGGTTCGGCCCCGCCCGACTCGGTCCGACCGATCCCGGGTCGACCGGAACTGGTTCGACCGGCTAACAACCCAACCGGTCGACCGGTTTGGTCCAGCATGGGCTCAGTCACCGGATTCTGGTCGAGCCCATTGGGCCCAAAGCCCATCTCCCACTCCTCCTGATCCGCGAAGCTCATCTCCTCATAATCCGGGCCCAATGCCTCGAACTCCACCACCTTCTTCTGCCTGCGGGCCTCCGCGATGTCTTGGGCCGTCGGAGCCGGAAGCAGACCTGGCCCACTGAAAACTGGTGCGGAGCTAGATCCCCTGCCCGCTCCTCCTGCTGGTCTGGGCCCGCCGTAGAAGCCGCCTCCCCGGCCCCCTGGGCCTGACGGCCGCGCCGCCCTCGAGCCCCCACCGCCGGCCACCTCACTCGGCGCCGCGACCTCCTTGCCGCCGAGAGCGCCTGGCGGCTTAGCCGTCGCCGCCGCGGCCAGCGCGCCGCCTGCCTCCCCTCCCGCGGCGCTACCCGCGCCACCAGCCGCGCCGTCGCCCGCCCCCGCCGCCGCTCCTGGCGGGGCGACTTCCTTCTTCTCGGCAGCCGCTGATACCGCCGCCGCCGTCTTCTCCACAGCCTCAGGTCGGCTTCCCGGGCTTGGCTCCTTACCCTGAAACACCCCGATCAAAACCTGATTCATGGTGTCCGCCAAGGCCTTGCACAGCTTCTCAGTCATGGCCGTGCCCATCTCCTCAATCGAGGAAGTAATTCGCTCCCCCAGCGCCTCTATGGCCTCAGTCGAATTCCGGGAAGCAGCAGCAGCTCGCTCTGTCGAAGCCGTCAAGCTCTCCAATGTGGTCACAACAGCGTCGTACTTGTTATTCGTGATGTCCTTCACGGTCACGATCTCCTGACCTTGCCTCGGCTGTTGAGATTTGTCCATGTTTGACATATCAATTCCTGTAGCTCAGTAATCAGCACGCCAACCAGGCTCTGATACCAATTGGGAGAACCACGGATCTAGGCGTGCGAATTAGGGATTAAACGAATTAGGGATTGGGAATTTAGGTGAGGAAGAAGGGGAATTTGGGATGAGAGAGAGAGCAGAATCGGTTCCCGGGATGGGAGCCGCCGAGTTGAGAGGGAGAGGGGAAGGGTCGGCTAGGGTGAGATGAGAGAGAGAGAGAGTTGGGAACAATTCTGTATTATTGCTTACCCATGACCTAACAGAACATCATATATATATAACCCGACTAATTACTGTTTACTACCCGAATAATTAACCTAACCGAATGAATCCCCATAACTCTCCTATCCGACAATATCCGAATAATATGAAATAACAAATAAACTCTCAATAATTATGTTTCTGACACTACCACAGAGATAAAATGGCCTTAGGAATTCCCATTTGCAAGGAAAATGCCAATATTTGGGTTAGAGGAGATAAGATAAAAAAGTCAGAGGACGTAAATAATAGAATTATCATCCCAAGGTCCATAAATTTCAGTGGTCCTTTGTCTCATCACATCTCATATCAGGGCTAGCTTTGATTCTAGATAGGAAATCGCCTAATTCTGCCTGTCTCTGTGACCTCTTAGGGAATGTAGCTCGCTCTAGATTCTAGACAGACAGACATGCAATTTGGCAAGGTTGTATGGGATCTCTGTACTAGTTCATCTATGCAACCCCCATAAATTGCTTCTGTTCATTCCCAGCCCACTACACCAAGGGAGGATGAAACAGGGTTTTGCAAGTCTTGAGCAGGTAGCCGTAATTAAGCATGGAGCCATGGGAGAATCAAAGATTAAAAAAAATTGGTGACAAAATGTTCTTACTTTTTTTCACTCCAGAGCAATCTTTTGATCAACTCTGATACGACCCAACAAGCTTCCCTCTTCTCCTGAGCAGAATCTGCAGCGGAATTTTATGAAACGATTTCAGCAAAGATCGAAACGAAAGTGGAAATTCACATAGCAGAAGCCAGAGAAGAAAGCAGAGCTGCAGAGAGAACAAGCCAAAATCAGCTGGTTAATGGATACAGAACTTACCCGCCAAAATCAAGCGGACCCTTTACCGCGATTTTCAGAGGGGAGGAAGAATCGGGAGTCGGGACTTCTGGAGGCGAAGCTTTGGGAATTGGGACCTAATTCAATGGAAGGATTAGATTACAGTGGCCAGTGGGGCATAGATTGCATGTTATTTGGCTTAAGCTGTGACTGTGAATAACCAACTGGTGGAATTCTCCCATTATTGCAACTGCTGACTAGAGATACAATAAGCCCTATCCCACGCGCAGCCAGTTTCCTAACACACGCGCGGGTACAACAATTAAAAAGAAATACCTTGCCGACGGCTTGCCCTATCTCAATGAGTGTAATTAATTATGCTTTAAAATACAAAACCGTATTTTTTTTAATGTATTACTAACGTATTCATTCGATAATGACTAACTTCTCGCAACAAGTAATTGTATTGATCATAAAGTACGCAACCGAATGATCAGCTCGCTTCTCCTAACGCTTTAACCCATTTTGTTGGGCTCGGTTTGCTGGCGTGGCCAATCTCTCTTGGTCTCGGACTATGTTGGCTTGTAAAGTTAAATTGGAACATAGTCCAAGGCTTTAGCAAAAAATCCACTCAATTCACATTTTGGGCCGACAAGGCTTTAATAATAATCCACTCAATTCACTTCTCTTTGTTGATCCATCAACCAACATTGGCCCAGCCTAACCGTAAGGCCCAATTGGAACATCCAGGCTCATCCATGCAGTTTCCCTCTTTCATTTTAACTTGCACATTTGTGCTCGTCGGTATGCAATAATTCGATTCAGTTTAATATTGGTACCTACTGTTGGTCAATTCGGTTAAATATGGATCGATAGACCTAGTTTGAAATAAATTCAACAAAATTTGAAAATTCAATCTGTTTAGTGCTATCCAAAATTAGATTCAATTCTTTTTTTTTTTTAACCTCCTACATATATTCAACCTACTATGAGCTATAGTGACAGTTTTTGCCCCTACCTTTTCCACTTAAAGAACTCATTATATATCACAAACGTGATTCATCAGTGTATTATGTTGACTGGCCAGAAAACATAATAAATAATGAACTCATCTCGTGGATAGATTTTTAAAACTGAATTCATTGGTTAATGTGTGTATGTTACACGATAAAGTCCAACATGATACAAATCAGAAAAGCTACATTAATGATATCAATCTCGATCGAGATGACTTATTCCAGAATCAAACAAACCCAAAACCAACTTAATATAAAAAAAAGGGGGGAAAAGGTAGACACAGCAGAATCATTGAAACCTATCCAACTGCTAAATAACAGTAAACCGCTCCCGTGGGTCTTCCCGACAAATGGCGACAGTCGCTTTTTTTCTTTCTCCTTTATGGATCTCCTGATCCATCGCAAAGCTAAGCAAGCAAAAAGTCAGGCTTTGAGCAACACTCCAAATTAAAGTCCAAAGTAGCCTGCCTGCCTTCTATATGCAAAGTTGGCGAAAGTAGTGCTAAAGAAGAGAAGGCCGGTTTACGTTCCGACAGCCGCAAATTGAGGAGCAAATCTTGTAGTCGGCCGGGACAGTCCAAACCAACGATGATATGGGAAAATACCTTTTTCTTTATCCCTGATCTATGGTGCCTTGTTTCTTCTAAGCTAGCTAGTTATAACTTACGCACTTCAGTTCATTACTGGTGAATGAACGTTGTTGTTGATGATGATGAATTATTAAGAGCGGTTTGATGTTTTTCCATGTCCCCTCTTCCCGCTCCCCTGGGCAATCCCATCAAACTTTGCAGTCCAACTCGGTCCAGCAGCACCTCATTCGAAAAATCTGCCATACAATTAAACGGGTTTGTTGACATGCTATCAAACTTTTTTTATCGAGTGGTTTTGGTGTTCGAATCATGATGATCCACGAGGTACATACGAATATAACATGCGCAAACCTTAATATTTCATGATTTGATTTTCATTTGATTAGCGGCAACGTGTAAGAGAATTATATAGATTTCTCTATTGACAATATGCAAAATGGACCGTTTGGTGCTATTGTGTCTTCTCTATACAGTGACCAAGATATAATTGTAAAAGATTCATAACTTATACAATCGTGTTGGTTGTCGACAACAATCAGGTTTTCTTTGTGCCCTTTGAAAGGTAAAGTGTTGGTTACTACAAACAATCATGTTGTCAAGAACTCGTTCATCTCAAATTATTCGAGTTATTTCAATAAAACGATTGTTTGCTAGATAGCAGAGTGTTTGGCTGATAGACTTTCTGTTGAAATTCATATCAAGAACTTGTCCATCTCAGTTATCCAAGTTATTGGAATAAAATCATTATTGAGCCTTTGATTAAGAGAATCTGTATTCAAATTTTTGCAACCTCTCTAGTTTTTTTGCGGCCATAACTCGAACTCAAGACTTCGTGAGATTCAAGCTTGTGTCGTCGTTACCAATCTGACCAACCCATTATTAATTTGTACAAACTTTAATTCCATTAGGTCTTTGTGAGAGCATTAGATCCACCTGTAACTTGCTGTATAACCAGCCAATCACACTGCAGCTTATTAACTCAACTATTGATAGGAAACAATGGCCCTGGAGTAGGTACGTATGAAGCATTTGGAAATATTAATGCTCATAATTATTTTGGATGTTTCCACTTTTGGTACATATTTTCTAGTCTGACGAATCAACAACCATCTTTAAGTTGAACTTAAGAGAGGATCCATCCATCGATGGACCAGCCCAAAAATTATTCAAAACTTTCATTAATTATTCTATTTCCTCCCATTCCTTTTCAGCTTGGTGTGGGGATTAATTGACCAATGCAAAAGTGAACCAATCAATCAGCTGATCCCATTAACATTGCTAACAATATCATTAGCCTTTTTGTTTGTGGTTAGTCGTCTTAAGCACGAATTAATGATAATATAATATGATTAGTACGTTCCTGAAAGTTGAAAGCCCTGTCTGTTCTTTGTTTATATTGCAGAGATAGGGTTGATGGAAGGTCTCTATCAGTTCCCTCCATGGAGAACTTAGGCGCAGGTGGCAGAAGCTTTAGGCTATGTCACTATATGTTTTCTTTTAGTTTATGTAATTATCTTTTGATTTTTTTCTCATTTGGTTTTAATTTTATGTCACGCCCTAAAAATAATAAGCATTTTGGGTATCATGGTCTAGGATCACAAGTCAATTTTGATATGCTCAATATAGGGAGACATAAAAAATTGGTTTCATATATGGTCTCATGACTAGTTAATTTGCTTATGATAATAATAATGCAAATAACTTCTACATGAAAAGGATTGAAATTTGTGGCCAATAAGTGTTAGGGCTAATAATTTACAGTTGAAGTATAGACTCGATGGCCATGGAGGTGTGCAGCATGGATCGGTTCGATTGTTTCTATCCTTAGGACAAACCCTCTCATTAAAATCAAAGAAGTGCCCAGAACACTTAATGTCAGAGCAGATTGGGTTACACGATCAAAAGCTAGAGCATCACTTCCTGATGATTGGATTAATATTCTTGACCTCATTTCTGATCTTCTTTAAGATTTGTAACCGAGTTTCTCATCTTTCATTGGATTGGTGGAATAAAAGTTGGTAATTTTGTAAGAAAAAAAGTGTTGGGGCTAATAATTTACAGTTGAAGTATATAATATTGTAATTTCTTGTGGAAGTTAGGACATGATTCAATGGGCTTATAGAAATGATGACATGAATTCTTCATAAAAAAAACGATGACAAGAATTGGATACCTACGAGACAAATGGAAGGCTCATACCAGATTTCATCCAATTCATGAATTGGTAAATACCACGTCAATATATGTCGGACCAAAATCATTTTAATTTGAATATAGCGTGTCAGCTAATGATTTTTCTTTGGTAATCATGTGTATATTATTAAGAGGGGAATGGCGACATATAAGAGAAGTGTACCATGTCCATGTTAAACCTCAAAACAAAAGAAAAAAGACACAGCTTTGCCCTTGTATGAGGCTACGATTTTCCTTTGGTAATCATGTGTATATTATTAAGAGGGGAATGACGACATATAAGAGAAGTGTACCATGTTAAATCTCAAAACAAAAGAAAAGAGACACAACTTTGCCCTTGTATGAGGCTATGATGAGCATCATTCCCTATATTGGAAAGGATATGAAACCAAAACACGACTCTATCCGTACCCCAAATTCTCCAATAAACTTTAGGATTATGTTTGAACAAATCTCTATATCCGCTCATTGAACTCTCGATATGTAAATCTACCAAACAAAACACAATTAATAACAAAACTATATGTAGACCAACCAATATTCGATAAACCTCAAATTTGTGTTTCGAACGAATCTTTAAATCTGCTCACGAAACTTCTCAAACCAAATATCTACAAACAAAAAACCAACCCAACTGCCACCGATATGATTAATCTAACCAGTGAAACAAACCAAAACAACATAATTCTTCTGGAGATGTATGAAAGTCCTATCATCCCAATCAAACCAAACAAAGAACACACACCACAACCACTAACCAATCATTCTCTTATCTTCTGTTACCTATCGCTATGATATATATATATATATATATATGAAGAAAACTAAAAGATAATATTGCTCTGTTGTGGTATGGTAACTACTAACCACCAACCCAAAATTTTGGGCTTTTCCCACTTTTCTTTTACCCCATTGGAATTCAATTTTTTTACCAGCAACGCATGTAATAATTTGAGTCTTAGATACAATGTCACTTTCACCTTCACCAAACTTGTCTCACACATTTCTGGATGTTGTGTTAATTGGTCACGGGACTTTGTTAGGGAAAGTTTAGTCCCTTTCTCCCTGCTCTCTAGTTGGTCCTTTCACAGGTTTCAATTCCTTACATAATTATTTATTTCCTGTGGACGTCAAAATTTGGATTTGATTTATTTTTATTAAAAAATTATTTATTAATTAATGTGTGTGGAAGATGTGTGCTACACTACAGCTTTGGATGCTATCTCTAACCATTCTCCCATTGGTGGGCTTGACAAATGCTCTGATGCACCAATGACATTTTTTTTTTTTTACATAAGTTTCCACAGTTTATTTATGAACAATTTTGTAGTGTTCTTTATGACAATGAAGGGTAGATAGTGGAAAAGTTATTCAACCATGGTGAAAAGGGAGAGATGAAAGTCTTATGGTCAATATTAGTCACACAGTAGAAAAGAGTATGTGGAAATTATTGTTCTTGTGAGCACCACAAGTGCTGGTGATTATTAGGATTTGAGTAGCTCTGGGTTACTCATGCAAATACGTACATGTCCAATTCAATATTTGAATAACTTTGTGTCATTAGATCTACATTACTCGTACGGAGCATTTACGTTTATGTTCATAATAAAAATGAGTTTAATGAAAAATCAAAATTTTCTTCTGACGATTTAATAAATTGCAAAGCAATCAATAATCTCTTTTTTTTTTTGTACAACCAACCTATTTCTCCTTCTCTTTCTTTCTCCGGTGTTTCTTCCAGGAACGACTCCAAATATTTGTTGGTTCTAAAATATAAACATGAATCGAAAATCGTGAGAAAACGATAACACAAAGAGGAAAAGTTCATTTATTTGGATTCAAACATAGACACGCAGGAGTCATTTGGGTGGAACGAAACTGGGCCGGATTTTGAATCTTCAGCTGCTCCTTTCAGTAATGGCTTATATAGCCCAAGATTAAAATTCAATTTTGTCCCCCGCTAAAAAGACCGTCGATGCAGATTCCTTAGTCAAGATCATAGGATGAGTCTTTCTCGACTCCTTTGTTTTTCACAACAAGAAGCACACAAGAATAAAGTTCAAATCGACAAAAAATTGAAAGTTCAAATCAACTCAAGCTCTCTTTGTGTTTGATTTCACCACATTCTTGGAGAACTGCAATATGTCACGTTGTATAGTCTTCTCCTATTTATAGGCTTCAATCTTCGGCTATGACTCACCACTTCATCTCTCAAATTCTTTCATGCAAATTAGGTTGTCAGAGAGAAAAGGAAACACAATACTTGCACATAATATGCTTTTGTTGTGGTTGTTTTGTTGTCATAATGTCAGCGATTAAATACATAATTTCTTTTGGTACGTAGGATTAATTCTATTTTTTTTTTTTATGTCGGTGATAATTTACATCATATACCTTTTCGTCTATTGTACAAATAACTGAACATAAAATGGAACATATATAGAGATAATTTTCAATCGTTGCAAGAGAATATATTAAAGACCATCCTCTCCTTTCTGAGTCTCCCCTGTCCTTACATCAGCCAAGAAAGTGGGGGAATTTTCTTGATGATTCTAGGTAACATTATTAATGTTATGTTAGCTAGATAGATACCCATATTTCCATCTGCGAAATGAAAGAAGGTTGTGGCGCCTCTGCCAGCTCTGACTGTCCTGCCAGCCTTTGCATTAAAAGAATGCCATGTTTCTTTGTTCGATATTGACTGCTTTGCTTGCTAGAGACCACTAGAGGAATTAAACGATCGATTGGACTGCTGGCAACGTGAGCCTGCTAGGCTTTTAATTTCCGTCTAAATTTGTTTATCAATAAGGTTTCCTGAATCATCAGATATAATTATTATTCAGTTTGATTCTACGAGATTCTGAAGTGGAATTACGTGGAATTAATAAAACCCAGTTAGCCTAATAAAACCATGCATCGGCATCTAATCAAATCAATCATGACGATGATAAGCGTAAGTAGTCTGAGTCTGTGGCTTGGCTTCACGGATAATACAAAATAATTAGGTGGATTGATCCAACAGCTAGCAGCAGGTTTCAAGTACGTAATGTACAAAAACAATTGACAAATTAATCAATTAATTATGTTAGAGATCGAGTGGCCTAAACTAGCTAACAGCCATAAATCTGTAAGAGCATGACATTTAGCTAAACATCGATCGTGTCTCTATTTGCCTGCCTGCCTATCCTATCTATCTTATCGAAAAATATGGATCTAAATAAATGAGACGCTTTAGGCTTTGGCCATGAGGCCATTATGCCACTTGATTCCTACTTGCCGACAAAAAGCACCCTCCTCATAAATATAATTGTTCATATAATTTATTTGCAATTAATTCTCCAGTTTCTTCACTTGAATCAGTTAAAACCCTCATAAATATAATTGTTCATATTCATATAAGTCTGGGAATGGCTCTTATGAACTTGCAAGAAGGTCTTAATTTTTGATGAAATGATTGAAGCTCAATCAACGTCTCTGCTTGTGAGTGTGCTTTATCGAAAAAAATACTTAATTTCAAGTGAGAAGAACCAAGTTTAAACAATTCGATGTGTTTTGGGTTAGTGGTTCAGTAGTCTAGAGAGCATATATCTTATAATAGGTATACGCATGGTTGATCTCAGTTGTGCATGTATGTGATTACGAGATAGTTGTATTGGACATCCAATAAACTAGTTTAATTCCATTCCATCTAGTGTTGGTTTCTATTAGTGAAGGATAGATAATTAAGCATTTGGTGAATAATTGACTTTTAATTCATTTTATCAAGCTAGCCAAGTGGCAAATAATTAGTGTCCATCTTGTAAGCTTGCTTGTTGCTAACGTACGTTTAACGTACTCTTTGTTGTACTGGAGCTTAATTAATTAATAAATTGTACGTACCCATAAATTAAAACCATACATTTAATTAATCTCTCAACTGCCTGCCTGATTAATCTTTCTCGTAAGGTAGGAACAGCAAGGAAATCGAAGAAATAGATCAAATCGTTTTTTTTTATCAATACAAAAACTTAATTTATAATTATTAGTTACATTGCATGTTGCATGTGGCAGCTCATGGACGTTACATTACATTGGATTCTCTCTCTCTCATCTAACATATTATCTAGACTATAAATAAAATATGGTTAAGCAGATGTAGGTCCGTCATCGAAGCAAGGCCTACCAGCAGCAGCTAGGCAACAGATAGATAACTCGAGTTGTTGGGAGAAGGTTCTGTTGGATCTTATACCACGAGTTATTGAGAGAAGGTTTTGTTGGATCTTATACCACACTCTTACACGCCCCCTCAAACGAAGGCTTGAAGTTTGCACAGGCCCACCATACCTTGTGCTTTAATAAACTGTTAATATTGGGGGTCGTGGAGATTCGAATACATGACCTTTCGGTTCTAGGCTCTGATACCAGTTGATCCCAATAACTCGAGTTGTTGGGAGAAGGTTTTGTTGGATCTTTATACCACACTCTTACAGCTAGCTCTCACCAGAAGATCAATCTCTTTTAACCCAAAATACATATAGATTAGATGGGTAATCAGTAACTAACACAAGTAACTTAATTAATTAGGGATATATAGATGGTGATGATGATGGTGGGATCGGTAATTAATTAAGGCATGCATAGAGCCGGCTAGAGGCTAGCACTGCACGGCCATACACACATACATACATCGATCTCACACACATACATAAGTAAATAAACTTAAACATATATAGATAGATACATATGTATTGTGTGAATTGATACTTGGATAAATATAGAAGAAATATTATTATATGGAGCGCGGCAGCCGTGGCTAGCTGGAGTGGAGGCGACATCACGTCACATGAGCAAGCTCCTGATAATGGCGGCCTCGGGGCTGTCGGCGTCGATGGTGGAGAGCAGCTCCGACAGCCGGTCGCTCAAATCCTCCACTTCCCTGTGCAGGCTCCTTATGTAGTTGCACGTCTCCTGCAGCACCTTCGACGCCGACACCTGTCACGTAAAACACAGTTTTCCGATTTATTACCTTAGTTTCGGTGAATAATACGATGTTCTACTGTGGAGTATAGTGAACAAATTAAGGGAGCAGGCAGTGAAAAGCAAAGACTCAGTCATTAGTCGTCATGACTATTTTTCTCTTTTCTTTTCTTCCTTTCCTTTTCTTTACTTTCAGTTTTCCGTTATTATGTCGTCTAGCTAATAGCTTCCTTTTTTCCTTTTTGTTCGTTTTCTGGCGCCTTCCTTACCTTTCCGGGGTTTGCTTACGACTCAAAAATATGTTGTAGCAAAGTTTGACCTTAATTAAATTTATTGGGTTTTACCAAACAAAGACTAAATAATTCAGCAATAGTAATAACAATAAATTAAATGCACTCATTTCCAAATCTCGTCCTTGATGTCCGCCGGCCGCCGGGGAAGCTTGCTTGAGTGACTGTACGTGCTTCCCCGCCTCGCGAATTTCAAAACCTCTACTTAATAATTAATTTTGTCATTATTATCGTCGTGGATATATAGCTTCAGGTTGAAGTCGAAAAATATTAATATGACTACTTGCTCAGCAGGCGTGTCATTATCAACTAATTCACACCTCCTTAACAACACATACTCTCTCTTTTACCATCATTCCTGTGCTCCCTTATTATTTACCACTCGCCACGCCAGCTAAGGAAAAGTAAATAAGTATAAATATAAATATACCTTGTCGGAGCGGCGGCTGTGGCGAAGCTCCGGCAAGAGTTGGCGTAACTTGGAGACAAGTTGGATGATCTGATCGTCGCTGATCCTCGGCACACCTGAAGACTGCTGCCTCGACGTTCTCCGGCTCGACATTGTCGTCCTTGTTCCCTAACACCTTACTGCTGCCTCTGTTTAAGTATATGAAAGATGATTTGTGTTTATTTCGCTACACAACAACACCAACCTTTCCAAGCTTGCAATATGGGGAAGATGTGGCTGGCTAACAAGTAAGTTGAAAAGGAGAAGTAGAGAGCAAAAAGAGATATGGGAATGGGGAAGAGGGAGGAGGGGAAGCTTTCAATGAGGGATTATATGTTAGAGTTTGTTTTGAGAGGAAGAGAGGGAGAGAAGAGATGATGGAATGGAATTGTAATGGGGAAGAAAGTGATAAGAGAGTGTTGTGTTATAAAGAGAATGGGGAAAGGACCACAAACACACAATATCGAAAGAGAAAGAGGCAAGAATAGATGTAAGGAGAGAGAGAGAGAGAGAGAGAGAGAGAGAGAGAGAGAGAGAGAGAGAGAGAGAGAGAGAGAGAGGGTACTATAACATAGACAGTGATGTTGGAGGCGAAGAAGACAGGTGCATCGGAGAAACAAGTGGACTTGCTTGCTATGTGCTCCATCTATATATTATGCTCTTATGTATTTGGTCGAGATAGATAGATTACATGGGATTTTCTTGACTATGTTGTGGGCTAAGTTGAATATTTGTGAGTTAATAGCATCATATATCTATTCTTAGGGTCGGTACTTCAGTTTTTTTTTTTTTTATATATATTACGTCCAAATATCTTGCAATCTCATCTAGGTAAATTTATCCTAATACAATAGCGAAACTATGTGTAGGCTAATTACCCCCTGCTTAGTATTTTGGTTTGAGGTTAAAGTTGTGTATACACGTATCGAGAAAACCTGAAAAATTGACGAGATAAAGTATATTAGACATCATCCTTTAAGATCCAGGTCAGTTCAATTCTGAATTGTTATCATCGTCTCTTGTATTTAGCCCCCTACATACTCATTATAAGCTCAGACTTTTTCGTCTTACCATTAATACAACATAATATATTGTATAATGCCGACTCCAAACCAACCATAATTTTCATTGCAGAAGGTACGTACGAGAACACTATTGATAGGTTACGTAGTAGGCCTAATGAATAGGATATGCATGCACAATATCCAGCACATATTTAGGAAATGGGAAAAGCTCCAATTAGGAATACCATTTTTACATTACACAAAGTTTCTCTCTAGACCTTAAGTTGAGGGGCAAGCAAAGATCGTTATAGAAGGTGGAAGAAAAAAAAATCAAAGGAGTGGGGTACTTGTGTGATTGTCCCCAAGCTGGGGTAGATGATCAAGTGGGTTTAAAGAAGTATGTTGGTTATTCAGCTAGCAAGAGTGGGCCTTTTTTTATGTGTATGTCTTAATACCACAACATGACCATGTGATCATAAGGACACCCACCCATTTAATACTAGCTCTAGCTACTTTTAATTTTTTCCAATCTTAGTTCGTAAATAAACTTGTTTCAATTTCATAATTTTTACGTTCTTTAGATATTATATATAGGCTAAGGCTTTCACTGAATTTCATATAGCACAAAATAATTAGCTAGAGAGCTTGCATGCCACCACACATCCCTTTGTCGGTTATTTGTTCTTCTATTTTCGATCTCTCTAGTATATTGGCCACATGCATGTCTCGATGAGATGGAGTAGAATTTGACTGTGATTTATACGATATAACTTACTAGATAGCTTGTTTTTTTAATGTTTGTTTCATGCATGAAAGCGTAAGAAGTATTGTTCCTTTCCTTCTTTTTTTTTTTTTAACTCTTTGTACCCACTTCCCTCCACTAACATGCACCCAAAATAGTTCATAGTACTATATGTTTCTGGGCATCGTGCTTTGCTCTAGACTAGAACTCATAGCCCTCTTGCATGAATATGCATGTACGTACCATATAGAAAATCTAGCATCATGCTTTGGTTGGTTCGTTTCGATGGAACGAGATACTCTCGAATCTTTGTTTTAGTATATATCAGTATTGAACATGTGAACAAACTATAGTTTACTATGGTCTTGTGGTTTTATATGTACATGACTTGGTTCTTAACGAGCTTGGATAGTAGAGTTGCGAAAAAGTTTGCCCACTTGATCGAATTTGGTTTCGACTTTGTTGAGACTAAGAGATGAATAAAAGTGAAGTCGACCAATCTAATATATGCATGAAGAGTCTTTTAGACAATGAAGTTTAGAAAGATTCTTTAATGAAGTTCAAATGTGAAAAATGTTCTGAACATAAAACAAAAACACAATCATGAATATTTACTGACAAAGATAATTTAAATCCATGTTTGGACTCGTGATACTCACGAGGCGAATAAAATATGGTCAAAATGAGTAGAGACAGGTCAAACGGGTCAGAGGACATTTTCATCTTAGCTACAGGCATGGCAACGAGTCGGGCCGGGAGCGGATAGTGCATATCTGCTACCCTATCCAAAGTAGTTCGGGTATTATGGTTGCCTATTTGGTCCGGACTGTTTGGTTTTACCCGAAACCGGACCGTATAACCCGGACCGGGACCGGACTCGGATTGGGACCGGATAACAAACAATCCAATCTCATATTCGGGCTTAGATTTGAGGTAAAAACCCGGATAAAGACTGGATAAGAGACCCCCAACACCTAAAATCAAGATCAAATTGGGACCGGACCGGATCAAAACCAGACCGGATCAAGATTGGACTGTATTCAATCCAATCTTTGGTCCTTATATTCCCGAAAAGACCGGACTGGGACCGGATCAATTTGGCCCAATTTAACCGGACCGTATAGCCACCCCTATCGGGTATTACCCATACCCATACCCACATAAGAATTGGGTAAAAATCAAAATCATGTCCATACTCGCTAAGCATTCGGGTATCCACGATTATCCATGGATAATAATTTATCTTTATAACTCAACGAATATGTTAACATTCACACGTATAATCACATTACACGAGAAAAATAATGAGTACGGATATTATTGTCATCCCTACTATCTACCTTTTCTTTCACTGCAGGAGCTCCAAGCTCTTTTACTTCGGCCCAGCGCAATAGCCCTTTCAATTTCCTCAACGCAACCAGGCTACGTACCAGGTCATGCGGGCTTCTTCCAGTTCTGAGTGGGCTAACTTTACTTTCGGATCCAATCTACTAGTCGGCCCATTCCAATGTCCGGCCGGGCTTAAACATCTCCTGGGCACGAAATGAAGCCCAAGAAATACTATTATTCTTGGCTGGCTTCTCGGACGGGGTCAGAAAATTTATTTAGTCTCTATGACCATTCCCAGATTTGAGCCCAGTTCAATCCATATATCCAATAGCCCACTTGTATTATTGGGCTCAATTAAGTTAATTTGCTTGCTAGACTATTTAATTACTCCAGCTTCCATATAAGTTTCATTTCCTAGTGGACACAAATTTGGTGGAGTGATTGTAGCCTAGAACTTTAAATAAGAGATCATGATTTCAAAGTTATTTTGACATCAAAATTACTGTGATGTAAATGGAAGGATTAGGTGATTTTTTGTTTGTTTGTTTGTTGAGAGTTAAAAAGAAGAAGGAAATTGATGGTTATTTTTCAATGCAGCTACCATGAAAGAAACTAAGAAAGGGAAATGTGAAGATGGTACAAATGGGCCAATGGGGGGAGAGCTGTCAGTCAACAATTGTAGACTGTATTCAGAGATGAGATGTATGTACATTATGTACTGCAAAAACAGATGGAGAGAAACAGCACACTGCAAAAAGCCCATTACAGAAGGACAGGACAGGGCCCATCTGGAAAAAAATCTATTCCCTATTGGGTTATTCTTTCCCTTTTACTGCTCCAATCAAATTGTACTAAACTCCAAACCAGAACCCTCACCACCTCCAATGTTTTTCTTCCATGGTTCCAAATTCCAATCACTGTGAAACTAGTAAGTTGATTATTTTTTTTTGTAGGTGACGGTTGGTTGGTAAAATATGCTATGCATAATACATGAGTAACTTAGGTTGTTATGCTAAACAAATTTAAAGTCGTACAATTTTGAAACTCGGTTTGCTTTTTAACTTCCAATTCTATATAGTTATTCAAATCGTTGTTAGCGTTCATATCCTCTATCTCAAACCTTTTCATGGAATTATGGATAAAAGTTACAACGATACCACAACCTTTAATGCTAACATCGAATCGATCAAAAATATAAATTTTCAGATCATGATTCCTTTAAACGTAACCGAATTGTAGATGTAATTTCCTAAATGATGTGGCATCATCAATTATACAATTAGAAAAGAAGTTGTTACTTATTGTCAACAACACGAAATATGATAATATCTTCGTTTTAAGAATAAAACATCATCATAATTAAAATCACATAATTTTCTATAAACTTACCTCTTTGATTTTGTTTGATTTTTAGGTCAAAGTTTAATCCGTTTTCTTACCTCTTTTGTAAATGAACGCTTTGAAAGGCAAATGTCAGCCCAAATATAATAAAATTAAAAGAGTGGGAAAGGAAACATGGGCTAGCTTTGGTGATTACGTCCATCTGTCAATGGGGTCTCCATTCAGAAAGAAAAAACTTCAACGGCCACCCCTCATGAGTTGATTCTGAAATGATTGTGAGCAGCAAAAAAAAAAAAAAAAAAAAACAAGTAACCAACTCGGTTTAAGGGGTTGTTTAGATGACAAGATTTGATTCAACGCTAGAAATAGAATGCAGCTTACCAAATAACGAAATGTTGCATTCTCTATCTATTAATTTGTACTCTACCAAAATGTGAGGTTGAGGAAATGAATTACTTGCTCTAATAAAATGTCGAACATTCCAGTGCTCGTATTATATATCGTCCATTTCTCTTTGGAAAATACACAGCGGTTGGCTGAGCAAGAAAAGCTTGGCTGGTCTGGATTCAACTGACAGAAACCCATCATTTCTGCACTGTGTTGTGCTGTGTCTTCCTCCGTATCTTCTTTTTTCTATGGCTTTCAGTATCAAACAGCCATTATTCATCTTTTGTTTGCTGTGTGGTAGGACATCAGTTATCTTTCTCAGAAAAAGAATCACATTCCCTTTCTCTCTGTGCTTCTTTTTCCCAGCCAAATCCCAGCAACCAGCAGAAAAAGAGAAACGGCAACTTATTACCAATATTTTATAAGGTGGGGAAGAAGAAAAGGAAAGAAAGGTGTCATGATAATAATGAAGGGCACTATGCACTCACTTATGTGGAAAGAC